TGTTCTTGCAATTTTGCACACGCTAGGCCCCTGTTCTTGCAATTTTGCACTCGCTAGGCCCTTGTTCTTGCAATTTTGCACATGCTAGGCCCTTGTTCTTGCGAGTTTGCACTCTCTAGGCCCTTGTTCTTGCAAGTTTGCACACACTAGGCCCTTGTTCTTGCTGTTTTGCACACGCTAGGCCCTTGTTCTTGCAATTTTGCACTCGCTAGGACCTTGTTCTTGCAATTTTGCACACACTAGGCCCTTGTTCTTGCAATTTTGCACACGCTATGCCCTTGTTCTTGCAATGTTTCTCTCTCTTGGCCGTTGTTCTTGCAATTTTGCACACACTAGGCCATTGTTCTCTAAATTTTGCACACGCTAAGCCCTTGTTTTTGCAATTTTGCACTCGCTAGGTCCTTGTTCCTGAAGTTTTGCATACGCTAGGCCTTTGTTCTTGCAAGTTCGCACACGCTAGGCCCTTGTTCTTACTATTTTGCACACGCTATACCCTTGTTCTTGAAATTTTGCACTGGCTAGGCCCTTGTTCTTGAAATTTTGCAAACGCTAGGCCCTTGTTCTTGCTATTTTGCGCTGCTAGGCCCTTGTTCTTGCAATTTTGCACTCGCTAGGCCCTTGTTCTTGAAATTTTGCACACGCTAGGCCCTTGTTCTTGCAATTTTGCACTCGCTAGTCACTTGTTCTTGCAATTTTGCACTCGCTAGGCCCTTGCTCTTGAAATTTTGCACACGTTAGGCCCTTGTTCTTGAAATTCTGCACACGCTAGGCCCTTGTTCTTGCTATTTTGCACACACTAGGCCCCTGTTCTTCCAATTTTGCACACGCTATGCCCTTGATCTTGAAATTTTGCACTCGCCAGGCCCTTGTTCTTGAAATTTTGCAACTAGGCCCTTGTTCTTGAAATTTTGCACACGCTAGGCCCTTGTTCTTGCTATTTTGCACATGCTAGGCCCTTGTTCTTCCAATTTTGAACACGCTAGGCCCTTGTTCTTGAAAACTACCACTCGCTAGGCCCTTTTTCTTGAAAACTAGCACTCGCTAGGCCCTTGTTCTTGAAATTTTGCACGCGCTAGGCTCTTGTTCTTGCTATTTTGCACTCGCTAGGCCCTTGTTCTTGAAATTTTGCAAATGCTAGGCCCTTGTTCTTGCAATTTTGCACACGCTAGGCCCTTATTCTTCCAATTTTGCACCTGCTAGGCCCTTGTTCTTGAAATTTTGCACACGCTAGGCCCTTGTTCTTGCAATTTTGCACACGCTAGTCACTTGTTCTTCCAATTTTGCACTCGCTAGGCCCTTGTTCTTGAAATTTTGCACACGTTAGGACCTTGTTCTTGAAATTCTGCACACGCTAGGCCCTTGTTCTTGCTATTTTGCACACACTAGGCCCCTGTTCTTCCAATTTTGCACAGGCTAGGCCCTTGTTCTTGAAATTTTGCACTCGCTAGGCTCTTGTTCTTTAAATTTTGCAAACGCTAGGCCCTTGTATTTGAAATTTTGCACACGCTAGGCCCTTGTTCTTGCTATTTTGCACACGCTAGGCCCTTGTTCTTCCAATTTTGAACACGCTAGGCCCTTGTTCTTGAAAAGTTGCACTCGCTAGGCCCTTGTTCTTGAAATTTTGAAGGCGCTAGGCCCTTGTTCTTGCTATTTTGCACTCGCTAGGCTCTTGTTCTTGAAATTTCGCAAACGCTAGGCCCTTGTTCTTGCAATTTTGCATATGCTAGGCCCTTGTTCTTCCAATTTTGCACCCGCGAGGCCCTTGTTCTTCCAATTTTGCACACGCTAGGCCCTTGTTCTTGCTATTTTGCACACGCTAGGCCCTTGTTCTTGACATTTTGCACACGCTAGGCCCTCGTTCTTGCAATTTTGCACACGCTAGGCCCTTGTTCTTGACATTTTTCACACGCTAGGCCCTTGTTCTTGCAATTTTGCACATGCTAGCCCCTTGTTCTTCCAATTTTGCACTCGCTAGGCCCTTGATCTTGAAATTTTGCACACGCTAGGCCCTTGTTCTTTAAATTTTGCACATGCTTGGCCCTTGTTCTTGCAATTTTGCACATGCTAGGCCCTTGTTCTTGCAATTTTGCACACGCTAGGCCCCTGTTCTTGCAATTTTGCACTCGCTAGGCCCTTGTTCTTGCAATTTTGCACATGCTAGGCCCTTGTTCTCGCAATTTTGCACTCTCTAGGCCCTTGTTCTTGCAAGTTTGCACACACTAGGCCCTTGTTCTTGCTGTTTTGCACACGCTAGGCCCTTGTTCTTGAAATTTTGCACTCGCTAGGCCCTTGTTCTTGCAATTTTGCACACACTAGGCCCTTGTTCTTGCAATTTTGCACACGCTATGCCCTTGTTCTTGCAATTTTTCTCTCTCTTGGCCGTTGTTCTTGCAATTTTGCACACACTAGGCCATTGTTCTCTAAATTTTGCACACGCTAAGCCCTTGTTCTTGCAATTTTGCACTCGCTAGGTCCTTGTTCTTGAAGTTTTGCATACGCTAGGCCTTTGTTCTTGCAAGTTCGCACATGCTAGGCCCTTGTTCTTACTATTTTGCACACGCTATGCCCTTGTTCTTGAAATTTTGCACTTGCTAGGCCCTTGTTCTTGAAATTTTGCACTCGCTAGGCCCTTGTTCTTGAAATTTTGCAAACGCTAGGCCCTTATTCTTGCTATTTTGCACTGCTAGGCCCTTGTTCTTGCAATTTTGCACTCGCTAGTTCTTGAAATTTTGCACACGCTAGGCCCTTGTTCTTGCAATTTTGCACACGCTAATCACTTGTTCTTCCAATTTTGCACACGCTAGGACCTCTCTTGTACTGTTACACACACACACACACACGTATATATATAGATACCTGCTCTCGCTTGTCTAGCCTTATATATATATGTACTCCTGCATGTGAACTGGCCTTGTGGCCTTGCATTTGTGCTCGGAATGTGTGGTGACTTTGTGATCCACCCTGAGCTTTGCTTTGCTTTGCTGGACTGGTCTTGTGACCCCCTGTTCTCCCCCACTTTGCCTATGGGGGTGTGTCAGAACATTATAGCCCTTACTTTTGTGTAGGCTGTAGTGGGCTATCCCATACAGGGTACAACCCAATTAGGGTTAGTACTTGTGCCCACTTCATTTATAGTTCATTTCATTCTCGTTCTCATTTTCTCACTCGCCTTCTGAACGTTTCCCGCATCGCCCTCGGGTTGCCCAGCCCCAAACCTGCATCCAACCTTCGTGCGACTCCGCGACCTTCGGCCTAGCTAGAGGTGCTATATTATACCTAGGCCTTGTTGTTTGCTCAGTAGTTGTAATCACTTCCGCAATATTGCATTTTGAGTACTCTTCTTTCATACAACTCATAACAGGAACAGTGGTGTACGCGCTGAGCAGGGACGCGAAGTTAGGAAAAGGAATTTTCCTTAGAGAGTCCATTAGAATATTTCTATTACTTGTCCTGACATGATAATTTTTGAAAGTGTAATGAAATGTAACACTTTCTAAAATTTTGTATTGTGAAAAGGGGTACGTGGCCAACACAGCAAAGGTAGCGCCGAAGTGCTACTCACCCTCTTTTGCCTACAAAAGAGGGACGTGGGGACATTCGTCCCCTCCCCCGTTTTCATTTTCAAAATTGTAGTTCTAATTTCGTTCTCGTCCACACTGGCGAAGACTCAGTCGCTTCCGCGCTTCACTGCCCCGTCAACGCTCCTTAACGACATCCTTAAGCGCAACCTCGCAACGATGGCTCCGCTCAACCCGGCACTTAACCGCGACAATTCGAATAATTCTAGCCCCGGTAACGCGGCGGAAACCTCGACTCCGGCCGGGACAACGGATCGTCGCGGCGGAAAACGTCCCGCCAAGGAAATTTCAAGCGAGGGACCCTCGGCGGTCGACCTCCTGCTCGGAGGCACCCTTCGGACCCCCCCTGAGGAACGCGCGACTGTTGTACAGTCGCGCGTGGCTGCTGCTGAAGAGCGCGTGCCTGGCAGGCACGCGCGTGCTGCGCAGAAGACGACGACCGCCGCTGACGCGGCGGTCGTCTTGACCGGCGCTGACGCGGGTCCATCCGGGCCCACGACCCAGAAACGCCAGCGCGCGGCACCCTCCGCTGACGTCATCCCGGTCAACGCCGCCCCCACCCCTTTGACCGCGCAGCAATTGCAGGCGCTGCTCTCGTTATTGCAGCAGCACGCACCGTCGACTGCAGGTACATCAGCTGAAGAAATTTCTGCATCAGCTAAAATCGAAAAGCAGAAGGAACCTGTCGCGGCTTCCCGCTCCACCAAAATCGCTCGCACCAACAACGCTGCTCCTGCTCCCACCCCAGCTCTGGCACCAACCCAAGCCCGTATCCCCGACGACAGCGACGACTCAGAAAATGAAGACGGTGAGGCCCCCGACAACCTTGCCCGTCGTCGCATTCTCGCACCCGCACCTCCCCATCCCCCCATCAACCCTTCACCCGCAGCTACTACCTTCATGCGCAAGGGAGTGCGTGACCAGGCGGAGGTTTTCTCTGCAATTCAAGCTCACCTGAGGCACGTCGAGTTCAAGCTCCAAAACGGCGACGTCGAGGGCGCGCTCTCCAACGTGGAGCAAATCGACACGTTGATCAACAAACGCTTCGAGGTGCTCTTGGTGGCGGATGAGGCCGGTTTCGAAGCGGCGGATCGGTTCCAGCTGTACCAAGCCAAGAGCATGCTCACATCCCGCTCGTACAAGCTCGCGGTAGCCGACGTGGCGGCCCTCAAGCGTGCATGTACCGGCTTCGCCCGCGGAGGCAGCCTTCCCCCTCGAGACGGTGAACCGGAAAGCAAAGGCATGCCACCCGCGGGCTGCCACGAGCCTCGCTTCAAGGGGGTGTGTTTCCGTTGTGGCCAGCCCGGCCATATGGCAAATAATTGTCCTATGGGAGGGCGTGGCGCACAAGGTCCCGCACCCGTGGTGTGAGAGGACCCATGGGGCGGCGCCCCTTGCCACTATGCCGGGGGGCGTAGGTGGATGCACCGGTGGTGCGTAGGCTGGTTAGGAGCCTTGGGGAGTAGGATAGGCCATGGGGGCCAGGGCAAGATGGCAGCCGTAGGGGCTGGTTATGGTGTAGGCTTGGCTTGTATGCCTTTGTGTGGATTAATAAAAGATTGTTGTTATTGAAAAAAAAAAAAAAAAAAAAAAACGAACAATGGAGAGAGAGAAAGGGAGCCAACACGAAACGAGAAGACAAATGGCACAACAAATAAAACATCAGCCCCCTCTTGAGGAAGGCAGCCACGGAGGAGGAATTGGCCAGGAGTGCAAGACAAAGCAAGGACCAAGAGAAGCACAAAGAAGGAGAGAGAGAGAGAGAGAGAGAGAGAGAGAGAGAGAGAGAGAGAGAGAGAGAGAGAGAGAGAGAGAGAGAGAGAGAGAGAGAGAGAGATAGAGAGAGAGAGTGTGTGTGAGAGAGAGAGAGAGAGCGAGGGAGAGGGAGGGAGAGCGAGATAGAGGGAGAGAGAGAGAGCGAGAGAGAGAGAGAGAGAGAGAGAGAGAGAGAGAAAGAGAGAGAACGAGGGAGGGCGAGAGAGATAGAGAGAGAGCGAGAGAGAGTGAGAGAGATAGAGAGCGAGAGAGAGAGAGAGAGAGAGAGAGAGAGAGGGAGATGGAGAGAGAGAGAGAGAGCGAGAGAGGGAGAGAGAGAGAGAGAGAGAGAGAGAATGAGAGAGAGAGAGAGAGAGAGAGAGAGAGAGAGAGAGAGAGAGAGAGAGAGAGAGAGGAACTATCACGACGACATCGTGATGAACAAGGTCGTGGGACCAAGGGACGCAAATGCGCCGATCTCGTTGTAAGGCAATGTAAAAAAAAAAAAAACCTTGCAAGGGTATTAAAGCTGATGACTGCGCAAGCAAAGTAAAAAAACAAAACAAAACAAAACAAAACAAAACAAAAACAAACAAACAAACAAACCCGGGAGTGCGGGGAGGCACGACGGCGGTAGAAGACAAGCGACATAGTTTGCCCGACGAAGTGTCCCGTATCATCTCGCGTCTAATCGACCTTGGCCCTGGTCCCCCCCCCCCCAACACACAACCTCGGTGCCCATTAATTGCAGAAGTGGAAGGCGAGTGGCGGAGTGCTCATTGGGACCCATACGAGCACGCAATAACGGACAACATGGTGTCCATCATGCGAATGCGATTGCGCAACAGCCTCCATTGGTGGCTATCATGGTGCGACAGCAGTCTGATCCTTTCCATCATTGCCATGGCTACCATGGAAGGGCGCAGAGCCTCTCCCCTTCGAAGCGCCCAATCACGCAGGCGTTCAAGCACACATGGCATTCACCCAAGACACGGTTAGCGACCTCATTGCGTCGGGCGCCGCGATGCATGTCTCGTCGAAAGCTGCACTGACGTGCATCAGCCCGCTCAATGTTGTGGAGCAACGAGACAAATGCCGGCTCATCCTTGACCTGCAGAAGGTCAACGCTCACCTCCAAGTTCCCAAGTTCAAGTACGAAGGCTTGAGTCGGGTCGCGGAAATCATTCGCCCACACGACTGGATGTTCACAATCGATCTCAAGTCAGGCTACCACCACGTCGAAATCCACCCATCATGCTGGAAGTTTTTGGGCTTTCAATTGGGCGGAAAATTCTATTGCTTCACATCCTTACCTTTCGGCCTGGCAACAGCCCCGTTCATCTTCATCCAGCTTATTAAGCAACTAGCCAAGCGATGGCGCGCGCGCGGAGTGCGCGTAATACCATACGTGGACGATCTACTATTCCTCTGCAACTCCGAGGCGCAAGCCCGTTCGACGTGCGTCGAAGTTCTCCACGACTTGAAGGCGGCAGGATTCGTGATAAATTCTAAGAAATCACACCTGCATCCCGCACACCACTTGCGCTTTTTGGGGATGGAGCTTGACACGGAACGAGGGATGTTCCTGGTCGGAAAGGATCGGCGCGAACAACTACTGCAGGAGCTCCACCTACTTATACAAAAAGGGCAATCGGATCGTCAAGTGCCGATTCGCAAGATAGCCCGGATCACTGGATTTCTCAGCTCCATGCCGCTCGCGCTGGGCACGATGGCGCGGGCCTTCAGCCATGAGCTGCTCCACTTGGTCGACTCCGCATGGTCATGGAACTCAAAGGCTTTATTGTCACCAGGAGCGACCCAGGAGCTGTTGTTTTGGACAATGCACTTTGATCGTTTCAATGGCGCCCCATTCCACCAGAGTCAGCGTTTTGATGCAGTGATACACGTCGACGCGAGCGCGCACAGCTGGGGTGCCACCTTGGCCAAGTTCCCAAGTACATCATGCGAGGCAAGCGAGTGCATGCCACAAGGGCTTCTCCCCACATCTAGTACGCGGCGAGAGCTCGAGGGGGTGCTCTGGGCACTGCGGACGTTCACAACCCAAATCGTGGGTGCTCACGTCCTCGTCCGGGTGGACAACCAGGCAGTCATGTTTATCTTGCGCAAGGGGGGATCCCGTCAGGCGGATCTTACGTCGACATGCCAAGCGATCATCCAGTTCTGCCTCGGCAACACAACACGCCTCGCGATCGAATGGATTCCGAGGGAGCTCAACGCCCATGCGGATGACCTATCTAAGATGCAAGATTTTGACGACTACTCCCTACATGCACCTTGGTTTCGCCTCTTGGAACGACGCTGGGGGCCTCACACAATTGATCTCTTTGCTAACGTTCAGAACAATCACGTTCAGCGCTTCTGCTCCAAGATACCGCACCCCGACGCATTCGCCGTCGACGCATTTTCCATCTCGTGGAAAGGCGAGCGATGCTTTGCCTTCCCGCCTCCACACTTAATTCCCGCTACACTCCGCCCCGCGGAACTGACGCAGAAAGAACTCACGCTCGTCGTTCCCCAGTGGACCGGAGCGTCATGGTGGCCGCTTCTTCAACCGTCCACTCAATCGTGGGCTCCAGCAGTAGTCGAGCACCTTTCCCTTGCCCAAGGCAGTCAATGCCTTCGGGCAGGTTCACACACAGCTGCATTCTCTGGTCTCGGATTGCCTCATAGCCCAATCATTGCTTTGCGTGTAAACTATGCAGTCTAATAACAATTTCTCAATGTGTCATTTCAGGACTTTTGGCCAAACTAAAGCAACAATTGGTGCACGTAATTAGCCACGTTCGCGCACCATCTACAATCGAGACGTACCAACCTTATTGGCAGAGATTTCGCACCTTCTGTACCCAAGTTAAGCTCGAGTTCCTCTCGGCAACCGACCTGACGCTAGCGCTGTATCTCATCCATGCGCTCAACAACAAAGCAACTCTCTCCGCGATCAACCTCACGTGTTCGGCAGTAGCCTTTGCCCACCGCATGATAGGCGAAACCTCCTCTACCGCCGGCCCACTCACCCTGCAAGTGCGGGAGTTCGCCAAGAGACATGGTCCCCGCCCTACAAGAACCAAAGAGCCCATATCTCTCCATCAAGTGCACGACATGGCTCGTCCCTTCCTCGAATCATCAATTCCTGCGGAATACCAGAAAGGATTGATTCCTCTTCTCATGTTTTCGGCATTCTTGCGCTACTCCGACCTCGTCTCGCTCCAATGGAATGACGTACAGTTCGAGGAGAAGGCAATGTGGCTGCTCATTCCGCACTCCAAGACGGACCAGGAGGGGAGGGGAGTCTGGATCCCCGTGGCGGCAATTTCAGGCCCATACTGCCCGGTGAGGTGCACGCGCGCATTCATACACATCGCAGGCCTCACAAAGGTGCCCCATGGACCGCTGATAAGGGTTTTCCCAAAGAACTCACAAGCCACACCGAACGACAAATCGCCATCCTACGTTACGATCAGAAACTGGTGCCTCGCAGCCGGCAGGCAAGCTGGACTGGATGTCGCGCACATCGGAACCCACTCATTCGCAAAGGCGCAGCCACTGCAGCGGCGAGCCTCGGGGTTCCTGACCGGCTCTTCAAACGCATGGGCCGATGGCGCAACGACAGCGCGAAGGAGATGTACGTTACAATCGCGCAGGATCAGCTCATCTCCCTCTCCACGCAATTGCAGGATCCTTCGACGGCTCCCTCGCCCGCTACGCATCAGCTATCCATCGAACGCCACCGGCAGCCCCGACTGCACTTGCCTCAGAAGACCCATATGAAATGATAACGCTGCCTTTGCCAGTCAGCCTAAGTACACTTTCACAATATGATAATTTTTGAAAGTGTAATGAAATGTAACACTTTCTAAAATTTTGTATTGTGAAAAGGGGTACGTGGCCAACACAGCAAAGGTGGTGCCGAAGCGCTACTCACCCTCTTTTGCCTACAAAAGAGGGACGTGGGGACATTCGTCCCCACCCACGTTTTCATTTTCAAATTTATAGTTCTAATTTCCCACCCGCCCACCCATTTGTGTATGCTGTTATGTAGACATATATAACGATGTACTACAACCCATATGAAAGTACACTTTCACAATTGCTTTCTTTGTCATGTCGTGATTCACGTGATGATCTACTTCTCGTTCTAGATATATCCGCATGACCCCAGACGCGTGCCTAAGATTACTCTAAGAACCCCATACTCAGCAGATCCCGGTAGATAGCCGCACAGCGCCATGAGCATGCGCCCCGCGCGCTCCGGTGCCCACGTGCCGGCCCTCCTGCGCGCCGTGGGCAGGGCGTGTTGGAACCACTCGCCGCTTCCCGCGTCGGCAGCCGCATCCCAGCGCCTCGTCCCAGACCATTCCGGTTCCGCCCCTCGCCGTCCACCCTCTCACCCGCTCGCCTCTCGCCCGTTTCTGTCCCTTCCTCCGCCCGCCCCTCTACTGCTGCCCGCCTCACTCCGCCAACCCCCTGCCCGCCACCTGTGCACCGAGGGGCCTGCGGTCGGCAAGGCGCGCGAGCAGACAGCGGGGCCAGAAGCACCAGCGGCTGAGGCTGAGGGGGGAATGGCGCAGGGTGCGGGGCAGGAGGCGGAGGGCAGAGTTGGCGGCGATGGGAGTGCGCAGGAGGAGGAGTGGCGGCGGCAGGCGGAGGAGGCGCGGGAGCGGCTGCTGCGCGCGTACGCGGACATGGAGAACCTGCGCCAGCGCGCCCAGAGAGACGTCGACGCCGCCAGGCTCTTCGCCGTGCAGGTGCCACCCGTGCAGGTGCCACCCGTGCAGTGCTGTGTGCTGGCAGCACAGGCCGTGCAGTCTGCCTCGTGGCCGTCTTGAATGGGTCACTCTCTCTTAGCTACGCCGCCTGCCTTGCTTCGCTCTCATACGGCCTCTGCATCCCTGTGGCCTACTGCTTGTGCCACCCACGCTGCTGCCATGCCATGCGCTGCAGCGCTGTGCTCTCATCCATACACCTCCTAACAATGCCTTGCTTCCTGTCATACCCTCTGGCCTACGGTATGGGAGTGGCATGGCATGGGGATGGGCATGGGCGTGGCATGGCATGGCATGGCATGGCATGGGCATGGGGATGGGCTTGGGCGGGGCGTGGCATGGCACGGCATGGCACGGGCGGCAGGGGTTTGCCAAGGGGCTGGCGGACGTGGCAGACAATCTCTCTCGGGCCGCCGCCTCTGCCTCCCTGCCGCCGCACCCCGCCTCCCCCAACAGTGGGCAGGGCAAGGGCGGGGAGGGTGGGGGTGGGCGCGACCCGGAGGCGCTGCTGAAGTCGCTGTTGGATGGGGTGGAGATGACGGAGAAGCAGCTCATGCAGGTGCCACCCCACGGCCCTGCATGCACGCCACCCCTTGCAGCTTCCTCTGAAGCTGTGTGTTTGCCATGTACCTGCGTTGCTGTGTGCGTCCATGTGTGCGCGCGCACTTGTAATTGTGCGCGCATTCATGTGTGTGAATGTTTGGGTGTGCATGCGTGCATCTGTGCTGGTGCGCGCATGTGTGGTGGTGTGTGGATGTGTGGTGGTGCATGCATGTGTGTGTGGTGGTGTGGTGGAGTGAGGGGGAGTGGCACATGGCAGGTGTTTCGGCAGCATGGCATGGAGCGCCACGACCCCATGGGGCAGCGCTTTGACCCCAACCTGCACAACGCCGTGTTTGAACTCGAAGACCCCACCAAGGAGCCGGGCACCATCGCCCACGTGCTCAAGGTACCATCACACCATCGCCCACGTGCTCAAGGTACCATCACAGCATCGCCCACGTGCTCAAGGTACCATCACAGCATCGCCCACGTGCTCAAGGTACCATCACAGCATCGCCCACGTGCTCAAGGTACCACCTGATTATGCTGCTTACCTGTGTGCCCGTTTGCTGTGCCCCTGTGCCCCTCTGCCCCTCTGCCCCTCTGCCCCTGTGTGCCTGTGCCCCTGTGTGCCTGTCCCCCTGTGTGCTGTGTGCCTGTGCCCCTGTATGCAGGTGGGCTACACTCTTCACGGCCGTGTGGTGCGCCCAGCCGATGTGGGCGTGGTCAAGGGCAGCCACGCATAGTCCATGCAGACGTGGTCAAGGGCAGTCAAGCATAGTCCTTGCAGGCGTGGTCAAGGGCAGTCAAGCATAGTCCTTGCAGGCGTGGTCAAGGGCAGTCAAGCATAGTCCTTGCAGGCGTGGCGATGGTCAGTCAAGCGCTGTCAACTCTTGGCCCACTGCCCAGTTCGTCCCTGCATGTGGTCAATCTGCTGAGACTTGTAGGAACCCTAAACCCTGCATGCTGGCAGGCGCCTCAATTCAGCTTAGGAGGGGGTGCAGTGTATTGCAACATCTGCGAATTTAGGTGTCAGCCGTTCACACACACGCAATCACGGAATGCAACCAGGATGCGCATCCATCATCTGCAATCACCGTATCCAATCAAATTCGCAATCACGAAATTCCCTCAACGTGTTGAGGTGTATACGATACGCTGTAGGGCACCTAACGAATGGTATGCCAATAATGAAGCAGCGTGGACCAAGACCACAACACGAGCAAGCCTCCCCCGTTAGCTTATCACCTTCAATCCAAGCACGTGCGCGACGCTGTTGCGCCCACCACCACTCCACAGTTGCTCCCCCGCGTCCCCCCCCCTCCTGCACACCTTTCTCGCGCTCATCGCCTCGCACTTACCCCGCAGCCCTCACCCACGACGTTCTTCCGCCTGCCTCGCCAGTCGCTTCCCTGCCCCCCGTGGCGCCATGCGACCCCATCTCGTCGCGATCTCGCTCTCTTCCTCGCCCTTCCCGCTCCGCGCGTCTCACGCACTCGCCTCGCGCTCTCTCGCCCCTCCCGCGCCACCCCCGTGCCACTCTCGCTCCTTGCGGTCTTTCGTGCTGCGGCTCGCCGCGTGAGTAGTTGACGGTCGTAGCGCAGGATAGACGACGGTCGTAGCGCAGGATAGACGGTCGTAGCGCAGGATAGACGGTCGTAGCGCAGGATAGACGCGCGAACTGCGGATATAAACGCGTCAGTTAGTGTGAAATAGACGCGCGAGGTGCTTCGACGCGCCGCCGCCATGCGGTCGTGCGACGCGCGGTGATTGTCGTTCCCAGTGTGCGACTGCCAGCCTCCTGTGTGCGACAAAATCCAGTGAGCGACAGCCGGCGCGGGGATGGTGGCGAAGAGAACTCGACAGCTGGTTATTGTGAGGCGCGCGGCTGCTGCCGCCCCTGTTGCCCCCCTCCACCCGCTCCTGCTCGGACCGCTCTCGCCCGCCTTCATCTGCGCGCGCTGCGTGCCGCTGCCGCCTCGCCCTGCTCGTCCATCCGTCCCCCTCTCTCCTTCTCTCCGTGCCCTCACTCTCTCGTGCAAGGCCGTTGCTCGCCTTTTCGTGCCATGCACCCTCATCACATGCCGTGTTGCCACATGGTGCCACGTGGCAGGGCGTATTGGCGGGCTGCATCATCACCGCTATCCTCTATCTCTTCGCCGTGCTCCAGGTGCGCTCAGGTGCGCCCAGGTGCGCCCAGGTGCGCCCAGGTGCGCCCAGGTGCGCCCAGGTGCGCCCAGGTGCGCCCAGGTGCGCCCAGGTGCGCCCAGGTGCGTCGAGGTGAGCCGAGGTGAGCCGAGGCGAGCCGAGGCGCTCCCATACGCTCTGCTTGCATGCTCCGCTGCTATGCTCCGTTGCTATGCTCCGTTGCTATGCTCCGTTGCTATGCTCCGCTGCTATGCTCCGCTGCTATGCTCCGCTGCTATGCTCCGCTGCTATGCTCCGCTGCTATGCCCCGCTGCTATGCTCTGCTGCCCATCAGCGAAGTCATCCCGCCCTTTCAACCCCACACCCTTGACTTGCATGTGCCATGGTGTGGCATGGCATGGCGTGGCATGGCATGGCATGGCATGGCATGGCATGGCATGCCATGGCATGGCATGGCGTGGCATGGCATGGCATGGCATGGCATGGCATGGCGTGGCATGGCGTGGCATGGCATGGCATGGCATGGCAGCAACATGTGGGGCAGGAGCGCAGGAGGCCATCAGTGGATGTGGACGCGCGCCTCCGCGCCATTGAAGGTCGCCCACCCATCGCCTTCCACCCATGCCCTTCCACCCATCCCCTTCCACCCATGCCACACTCACTCCCATGTCGCTCACTCCCATGTCGCTCACTCCCATGCCGCTCACTCCCATGCTGCTCACTCCCATGCCGCTCACTCCCGTTTTGCTCACTCCCATGCCGCTCACTCCCATGCCGCTCACTCCCGTTTTGCTCACTCCCATGCCACTCACTCCCATGTCGCTCACTCCCATGTCGCTCACTCCCATGTCGCTCACTCCCATGTCGCTCACTCCGATATGCCTCCATCCGCGTTGCTGCCACCGCTTGCATCCGTCATCTTCACCCTCCCTCCCACTCTCCCCTCCGCTCTCGCCATCATCTCGCTCGCCGCCCATCCCTTAACCCCTTGCCTGCGCCCCCCTGCCTGCCACCCTGCCTGTGCCCGCCTGCCTGCGCCCCTGGGTGGGAGAGCAGAGCAAGTGGCGCGGATGGCAGCGGCGGACGTGGTGGGGGTGGTGAGGGAGGAGGTGGGGCGCGTGGGCGGGCAGGTGGAGGCGGTGCAGGCGCTGCAGCGAGCCAGCGCGCAGGCTGGGGGGGACAGGGGGGCGGCGCTGGAGGCGCGTGCGAGGGAGGCGGAGGAGAGGGCGGCGCAGCTGAACGACACGGTGGGGCGCCTGCAGGCTGCTCTCAGGCAGCACAGCGCCACCATCGCTGCCCTGCAGGTGGGCAGCACAGCGCCACCATCGCTGCCCTGCAGGTGGGCAGCACAGCGCCACCATCGCTGCCCTGCAGGTGGGCAGCACAGCGCCACCATCGCTGCCCTGCAGGTGGGCAGCACAGCGCCACCATCGCTGCCCTGCAGGTGGGCAGCACAGCGCCACCATCGCTGCCCTGCAGGTGGGCAGCACAGCGCCACCATCGCTGCCCTGCAGGTGGGCAGCACAGCGCCACCATCGCTGCCCTGCAGGTGGGCAGCACAGCGCCACCATCGCTGCCCTGCAGGTGGGCAGCACAGCGCCACCATCGCTGCCCTGCAGGTGGGCTGCACAGCGCCACCATCGCTGCCCTGCAGGTGGGCAGCACAGCGCCACCATCGCTGCCCTGCAGGTGGGCAGCACAGCGCCACCATCGCTGCCCTGCAGGTGGGCAGCACACCGCCACCATCGCTGCCCTGCAGGTGGGCAGCACAGCGCCACCATCGCTGCCCTGCAGGTGGGCAGCACAGCGCCACCATCGCTGCCCTGCAGGTGGGCAGCACAGCGCCACCATCGCTGCCCTGCAGGTGGGCAGCACAGCGCCACCATCGCTGCCCTGCAGGTGGGCAGCACAGCGCCACCATCGCTGCCCTGCAGGTGGGCAGCACAGCGCCACCATCGCTGCCCTGCAGGTGGGCAGCACAGCGCCACCATTGCTGCCCTGCAGGTGGGCAGCACAGCGCCACCATCGCTGCCCTGCAGGTGGGCAGCACAGCGCCACCATCGCTGCCCTGCAGGTGGGCAGCACAGCGCCACCATCGCTGCTCTGCAGGTGGGCAGCACAGCGCCACCATCGCTGCCCTGCAGGTGGGCAGCACAGCGCCACCATCGCTGCCCTGCAGGTGGGCAGCACAGCGCCACCATCGCTGCCCTGCAGGTGGGCAGCACAGCGCCACCATCGCTGCCCTGCAGGTGGGCAGCACAGCGCCACCATCGCTGCCCTGCAGGTGGGCAGCACAGCGCCACCACATTGATTGCCCACGGGCGGATTCGTTCAACACACCCCTCCCTCCACCCTCACTACCATACCATGCAATTCATTTCATGCCGTGCCGTGCCATGCCATGCTGTTACATGCCATGCATGCCGTTACATGCCATGCATGCTGTTACATGCCATGCATGCCGTTACATGCCATGCATGCCGTTACATGCCATGCATGCCGTTACATGCCATGCATGCCGTTACATGCCATGCATGCCGTTACATGCCATGCATGCCGTTACATGCCATGCATGCCGTTACATGCCATGCATGCCGTTACATGCCATGCATGCCGTTACATGCCATGCATGCCGGTACATGCCATGCATGCCGTTACATGCCATGCATGCCGTTACATGCCATGCATGCCGTTACATGCCATGCATGCCGGTACATGCCATGCATGCCGTTACATGCCATGCATACCGTTACATGCCATGCATGCCGTTACATGCCATGCATGCCGTTACATGCCATGCATGCCGTTACATGCCATGCATGCCGGTACATGCCATGCATGCCGTTACATGCCATGCATGCCGTTACATGCCATGCATGCCGTTACATGCCATGCATGCCGGTACATGCCATGCATGCCGTTACATGCCATGCATGCCGTTACATGACATGCATGCCGTTACATGCCATGCATGCCGTTACATGCCATGCATGCCGTTACATGACATGCATGCCGTTACATGACATGCATGCCGTTACATGCCATGCCATGCCGGGGCACCATATCATGCCGGGGCACCATATCATGCACCGCCATGCATGTGTGTAGGCAGCGGAGCAGGCAGCAGGGGCGGCAGGGAAGGAAGGGGGGAGGCCACTGGGAAGGACGGTGGTGGAGGAGGACCACCCGGGGCGATGGAGGCAGCATACCTTCCACCGCACCGGCGCCTATGGCTTCATCCAGTACAGGTGCTCCCTGCCCCACCGCGCACGTCGCTTTCACTGCTTGCCACCAACCATCTAAACATCCCTTGCTTCCCAATCCCCCAATACACGAATGTGCTTCCCAATCCCCCAATACACGAATGTGCTTCCCAATCCCCCAATACACGAATGTGCTTCCCAATCCCCCAATACCGCACTCTTCTTCTCCCCCACTCCCCTCACCTTTTCTTTGCTCTCCGCCCTTCACGCCTCGCCGCTCTCTCTCCTTGCCCCGCGCCCCTGCCGCGGGCCGCTGGCATGCAAGCAGTGCGTACCGCGTGTCAGCGGCGCGCATAGCCGTGGTGGGGATGGGCGCGCTGGGGCTGCGCAGCAAGCGGCGCGTGGAGGGGTGCTGGTGGCACCGCCTGGACGGGCACACGGTGATCGCGGGCAAGCTCACGCAGATGGTCATGGAGGAGCACCACAACTACCTCGTGCGTGGGGGGGGGGGGGGGGGCGGCGGTGGATGCACGGGTGCAGAGAGGAGATAAATTGTTCTTGCATCGCTCTTTTTTGTGATTTTGTTTGCTCATTTGCCCCTGTGCTGCCCCTGTTCTGCACATTTGCTGCCCCGTGGTGTCCCCATGCGTGGCGGCAGTACGAGCTGGTGGTGCTGCAGTGCGCGCTGGAGGAGGAGGTGGCGGAGACGGGCGGGCATCTGCGCATCTTCCTCGACCGCCAAGTGCTCTTCCCCTTCCGTGAAGACACCAAGGAGGTGCGCCAGGAGGGGTGGAAGGGGGGGGAGTGATGGGCAAGCATGTGAGGCACGTGGGAGGGGAGGGTTGCGATTGTGGCCTTGCAGCATGGTTGCAGCCGCACAGGGTCGTCACCATCTTCACCTCCCTCCCTCTCTCCCTTCCTCTTCCCCTCCCCCCAAGGCAGAAGATAGACAACAGCACGGGCCCCATGCCGTACCACTTTGCGTACTGCGGCCCCCCCATGCACGCGGAGATGGAGCAGCGCAGCGTGCAGCAGTTCATCGCCTACCACCGCTACGCCGCCGGCTACGACCACTTTCAGCTGTACGACGCCACCGCCGTCACGCCCGCCCTCACAGCAGCGCTGCAGCCGCTCATGGACGACGGGCTGCTGACCATCGCTGACTTCCGCCAGGCCTACCAGTTTGACTCCTGGTACTTCTCCCAGGTGACCTCACTCGCACCCACTTGCTCCTGCTGCTCCCATCCCTCCTGCCTGCTCGTCTGCCTGCTTTCCCGCCGCTATGCGCCGCCATCGTCCTGCCCCCTCCTGCTCCCATACCTCGCATTCGCGGTCCCCAGCGCTCAACCACTGCCACATGATCCTCTCCATCGCCCCCCCGCCCCCCCAGGCGGTGGCGATGCACGACTGCATGTACGGCATGCGGCAGAGGGCGGACTGGATAGCCTTCCACGACCTCGACGAGTACCTCGCGCTGCCCCCCCCCGCCTCCGTGCCCGCGCTGCTGCAGCGCTACGCCGCACTGCCGTACATCACACTCGGCATGTACGTGTTCAGCGCGCACCTGTGTGAGGAGGGCCCCGAGGACGTGTGGAGTGACGAGGAGAAGCGCTTTGCGGTGGAGCGCATGGTGCAGCGGCGGTCGGTGCCGTACTGCCTGCGTGCCGAGGACGACCCCAAGCTCTGTATCGACTACTATGGCCATCGCAAGATGTTCCTCAACCCCCGCAAGGTCAGCTGCTGCTGCTGCTGCTTCGCCATTGCTGCATTCTTCATGCGTTGCTGCATTCTTCATGCGTTGCTGCATTCTTCATGCGTTGCTGCATTCTTCATGCGTTGCTGCATTCTTCATGCGTTGCTGCCGAATTGTTGCCCTCCGTATGAGTGAGCGTGCTGAGATCGTCACTGTTTCATGCTGATTGGTGGTGGCCATGGGGCGGTGGGGCATGGGAGGGCGGTGGTGGGCAGGTGGAGGCGGTGTACGTGCATCTGGTGGACAAGCCGGCCACGGGCGGGGTGGACCTGAGTGTGGACGACATGTACTTCGCCCACCTGCGCTCGCTCAACGGCAAGGGACTGGCGTGCCGCCCGCCCACGGACAAGGAGAACGACCTGCCGCCCGCAGAGCTGGAGAAGTGCACCACTGTGGCCGACACCGCTGCCCGCGCCCGGGAGTGCGCCCAGGAGGGCTTCTCCAACCAGGTGGGCCGGTGGGCAGGGCCGAGGGGTCGTCGGGTGCACTCCATGATGGGTCTCCGTGCCTCCCCTGCCAGTGCTGCTGCTGCCTGCCCTGTGTGTGGCTGGTGCGTGTGCTGTGCCACTCACGCCCCCCACTCCCCTGTGTGCGCTCCCCTGCAGTTCCTGTGCAAGCCCAGAGCCACGCGCTAGCTGCCTCTCCACGTGCCCGCCACTTGTCCGTGTGCGGCCTCCAAGGGGGATGCTTCGGACAAGGCGCTCAAAGTGCCGTGAACAGAAGAACCTGGTGCCATGCTCATTGCGCTCCTCTGCACTGCTCGTTGCTGCTGCTTGTGGTGCTTCCTACTATATTCCAGCAGCATTTGCTTGCAGCAGGTCAGGCGAAGTGCAGAGGCCACGGCAGGCAGGAGGCTGCAGCCCCACGGCCGTGCACTCACATGCCCCATGCCCGCTGCTGCCTGCGCTGCCCCTCACTGTGCCTACCTGCTTGCTAACCCATGCAGTGTGCCTCATGAAATGGCCCTGCCTGCACCCCATGTGCCCACCCTGCTCCTAACTGCTATTCGTCAGAACACTACCGGTGTGCCATAGCCCACCTGTCATATGATACCTTAGTTCATGACCTGCAGTGTATTCCAGTGATGCTTACATGAGAACAATCACGAGACAAGACTTTAGTCTTCGTGCCACACTCAACAGCTCCCTACCACACTCAATGATTCACATCACAGCCATCTGCCACACGTCTGGTCGGAACATTCTGTGGCTGCGCTGTGCTACAGGCATGAAGGTTTAGTGGAGTGCCTTTCTGCTCTGCGTGAGTGGGACCATTGCTTGCCTCTTTTATCACGACAAGGTATCAGTCGCATTCTTGGCATTTCAACCCGTGAATCTCTGCCTGCAGTGAACCTCAACTAGCTGTAATATCGTCTTTGACAATCACCTAAAAGGGCATTCATTCACGAGGTGGCTGACATTCGTCCGAAGAAATAAAATAAAGGAAGCATGCTGGCGTGCAATGCCGGTGAGAAGGCTATGATGGTGCACAGGCAAGCTCTACAGCTTCGCCTGCTCTTCGTTCGGCGAAGATCGCACGAGGAGTGCAAATAAAGGCACAAGCCTCTCTCCTGCGTGTGGCAGGTACGACTCACAGCGTTCTGTTAGTTATGGATTCTTTGTTAATTTTTTTGTTCTGGGTGAAGGGAGACTGAAAGCGGTAGTATAATTGCATTAAGCTAAATCGAAACATGCCAAAAAGGTAAAAACATGGCACTTATCTATGGGGGTATGGCCCCGGTTACCTAGTACACGTAGCCCTTCACGTGAAGGCTCTCGGTGGCGGCAGCGGAGGCGGCGCCGCCGGCGTACTTGCCGAGGGTGGCTTCGGAGTTGCTGCGCGCGCGCGTGGTGAAGACCTCTTGCGCCGCCTTGAGGTTCTCCTCCTTGCCCTGCCACGCGGCCAGCGTGCTCTTCTGCAGCGCGCGCCCGTACGAGAAGGACAGCGTCCACGGCTTCTTCGTGTCCAGCTGGTTCATCGCGTTCAGATTCACCGTCGCCTGCTCCTCGCTCTGCCCGCCCGACAGGAACATGATGCCGGGCACGGCGGCGGGCACGGTGCGCTGCAGCGCGCGCACGGTGAGCGCGGCGATGGTCTTCTCGTCCACCTTGGGCCCGTCGGAGCCGGGCGACACCATGTTGGGCTTCAGCAGCGACCCCTCCAGCAGCACCTTCTGCTCGCTCAGCGCCTTGTACGTCGCGGCCAACACGCGCTCCGTGACCTCGGAGCACTTCTCGATGGTGTGCGAGCCGTCGGTGAGGATCTCGGGCTCCACGATGGGCACCAGCCCGTTCTCCTGGCAGATGATGGCGTACCGCGCCAGGCCCTGCGCGTTCAGCTGGATCGCCAGCTCCGACGGCTCGTTCGCGCCGATCTTCAGCACCGCGCGCCACTTGGCGAACCGCGCGCCCGCCTTGTAATACTCGGCACAGCGCGCGCCGAGGCCATCGTGGCCCTGCGTGGTGGTCTCGCCGTTGGTGCCGGCAATGTCGACGGTGCCCTTGTCGACCTTGATGCCCGGCAGCACGTCGTTCTCGTTCATCAGGTCCACGAACGGCTTGCCGTCCGCCGTCTTCTGGTATAGCGTCTCCTCGAACAGGATCACGCCGCTCAGGTACTGCATCGCGCCGGGCGCAGTGAACAGCAGCTCACGCAGCGCGCGGCGGTTTGACTCAACATTCTCGACATTGATGGCGCTCAGGCGCTTGCCGATGGTTCCAGTGCTCTCATCAGCCGCCAAGATACCCTTTCCTGGGGTCGCGATCTTCTTGGCGTTGGCAATAAGCTCCTCTGCAGTCGGCAAGGTAGGAAAATTGGTAAGTCAACCAGGAACTGAAGACATTCTTTTCTTATGTAAATTCAGTCAAGCTGACTGTTTGTGAAACACACGACGAGCACGCAATAATCAATGGCAGAAAAGCTCTGACCATGTGGATAGCAGAACTGGCAAACACCTAAAGAGCTCGAGATATCGTACCTGCGTACTTGCCATTGTAGGCAGCCATGGCTCTACAAATCTGAGAGAGAAGCCGAGATGAGTGCTGAGGAACGATTACAGATACAGAAAGCCTTGTGAAGAAATCTGGAAGCAGCAAGCCGAATTATGGAGAATGGGAGTCGGACAAGCATTTGAAGCACAAGAATCAGCCTTCGCAGGCGGGAGTTTGGGGGAGCACGACAGCGCGGCATGCCACGTGCAGAAAGGCATGCGATGATGTGGACGAACCAAAAGGCTTTTTTCCCCTCGGCTTCCGCGCCAGCTCAGACCAACCCCAGATCTGAGCACTTCGGAATGGAATCCTGCCAAACGCCAATTGCGCAGGGTCGTGCTGGCACTAAAAATATCGCCGCGCGGCGCCCAACCATTCGGCCTCCCCTATGTCTGGATGACCCACGGTGTACTTGGAGGAATGCGGCCCGGTGCTAGCATCCACCTTTGCACAGTGACTCCCAATTTTCCCCTGATGTGACTTCTTTAGGAAAAATACACCGTATCCGTTGTTTTGAACATTTGTATCTACCTCATTAGCGAGGCAACTATTGGCGCGTTCAAACTGAACCTCCATCCCCCGACTTTCCCTCACATTCCGTGCCTGTCCACCACAGAACGCAAAATTTGAACTTGTTGGTACCTAGAGCTTTATTGAGTCATCAACGATACTATCTTCCTGTTCTGTTCACCAAAGGGGCTAGGCGGTGCTCGGTGCACCATGCGTATTTGATTCTGGTTCTCCGTTCGTTTCGTTCTACTCTGCGTTTCGTGTTTTTTTCCCTATCGTTTGTGGAGTCTCAACGACCGCTAATTATCCATCCAACCGCCTTCCCTCACTCTAGTTCCCGACGGCGCGGCAATGAGGGGGAGCTCGGGGGTGAAGCGGGTGGGCAAGTACGAGCTGGGGCGGACCCTAGGCGAGGGAAACTTCGCCAAGGTGAAGTTGGGGCAGGACGTGGAGAGCGGGCGGCGCGTGGCGATTAAGGTCATGGACAAGGACAGGATTCTGCAGCACAGGATGGCGGACCAGGTGACGCCGCCACTCCCGCTCCGCTCTCCTCGCCACGCCGTTTGATGCCTTCCTTACTGCGCTCCGCGTCGCTGGCATTTGAACGCGACGCCGCGTTCGTGACGGCGTTCGCGCAAAGCCGTTGTCGCGCCTCGCCACGCGTCACTCACAACCGGCTCTCCTCCGTTTCCGTGTGATGCTCAGATAAAGCGCGAGGTCTCGATAATGAAGATGGTTCGCCACCCCAACATCGTCCAGCTTATCGAGGTACTCTCAAACACGTTAATCCTAGCCCAAGCCCTTTATCCTATAACTACCGAGCTGTAGCGGTTCCTAGGGTCGAAAGGCGGCACGTCACCCAACCGTCAACCGTGCCCCGTGTCCCTCCGTGCCGTCCCATGCATGTGGGCCGGCAGGTGCTGGCGTCGCGCAACAAGATCTTCATGGTGCTCGAGTTCGCGGCGGGCGGCGAGCTCTTCGACCGCATCGTCAGTGCGCGCGCCCTCCCCCTCCCCCTCCCGCTCTCGCTGCCGCCACTCTCGCCCGCATCGGCTCACTCTTCGCCCGCATCCGCGCACCATTGCCCCTCGCCCGTGCTGTCAGTCTCTGTCATCCGCTGTGTCGCGCAGTCGCCGTCGTCGTTACTCGCCGCCGCGCCTTCCGGCTTAACTCCCCTGGTGTGCGCGCGCAGGTGTACCGCGGGCGGTTGGCGGAGATCGAGGCGCGGCGGTACTTCCAGCAGCTGGTGGACGCCGTCGACTGCTGCCACGCCAAGGGCGTCTGCCACCGCGACCTTAAAGTAACAATCTATTTTATTACTTCCTTTTTCGTTATGCGGTTTCTGCTTTGCCAGTTCCGCCATTCGCTGCACATTCTTACCTCGCATTCGCCTGCTCCCTCTCATCTCATCCCGCCCTGTGCATGCTGTGACGTGGCATCAGCCGGAGAACCTGCTGGTGGACGAGCGCGGCAATCTCAAGGTGTCGGACTTTGGGCTGAGCGCCCTGCCGCAGCAGCAACACCGCGACGGGCTGCTGCACACCACCTGCGGCACGCCCAACTACGTCGCCCCTGAGGTGCGTGCCTCCCCTCCCCTCCCCTCCCCTCCCCACCCCTCCCCTCCCCTCCCCACCCCCTTCTGCTCGTCTGCCCCCAACCACGTCGCCCCCAACCACGTCGCCCCCAACCACGTCGCCCCCAACCACGTCGCCCCCAACCACGTCGCCCCCAACCACGTCGCCCCCAACCACGTCGCCCCCAACCACGTCGCCCCCAACCACGTCGCCCCCAAGGTTCACCCCTCTGCCTCACTGCTTGCCCTCTCCCCACCCCCGCCCCATCATGTGTCCCGGCTGCTCCCCTGCATGCTACTCGCGTGGTGCCTGCTCCCACTGCACCCAGCCCAGCCCACACCCACCACACACCCCCCCCCCCCTTCACTCGTCCCCAGCCTTCTTACATTCCGCCATGTGCGCCCCTGCGCGCCCCTGCGCGCCTCTCTGCACCCCTCTGCGCCCCTGCGCGCCCCAACCCCCCCAGGTGCTGCACAACAAGGGGTACGACGGGCGCAAGGCGGACGTGTGGTCGTGCGGCGTCATCCTGTTCGTGCTGCTGGCAGGCTACGTGCCCTTCGATGAACCCGACCTTGTGCTGCTCTATGACAAGGTGTGCTGCTCTATGACAAGGTGTGCTGCTCTATGACAAGGTGTGCTGCTCTATGACAAGGTGTGCTGCTCTATGACAAGGTGTGCTGCTCTATGACAAGGTGTGCTGCTCTATAGCAAGGTAAGGCGTGCCGCCATGCTGCCAGCCTCTGCTCTCACGCCTGCTGCACGCCTGTTGCTCATGCATGCCCTCACACGCCTGTTGCTCATGCATGCCCTCACACGCCTGTTGCTCATGCATGCCCTCACACGCCTGTTGCTCATGCATGCCCTCACACGCGCTGCACGCTGCCATGGGATGGGACTCCGCTCCCCTCCTGCATGTGCAACTGTCTTGCCTGATTCAACGACGCTCTTCCCTCCCCCTTTGCCTCCCTCCGCTCCCTCTCTCCACCTTCAGATATCCCGGGCGCATTTCAAGTTCCCTCAGTGGTTCTCCCCCGGGGTGAAGCGCCTCATCACGCGCATCCTCAACCCCGACCCCGCCACCGTATGCCGCCCTCCCTCCTTGACCCCGCCACCGTATGCCGCCCTCCCTCCTTGACCCCGCCACCGTATGCCGCCCTCCCTCCGTGACCCCGCCACCGTATGCCGCCCTCCCTCCTTGACCCCGCCACCGTATGCCGCCCTCCCTCCTTGACCCCGCCACCGTATGCCGCCCTCCCTCCTTGACCCCGCCACCGTATGCCACCCTCCTTCCTTGACCCCGCCACTGTATGCCGCCTACCTTCCTGCACTCCCGCTCCTCATCGTCCTGCGTCTCCCACTGTGCCCTCGCCCCAGACCCCATCCGTGCGTGCTCCCTGCATGCCATGTACCATCTCACCGCCACTCCTTTTCCTCCGCGCGCCCTCATGCTCCCACCAACCCTTCTTCGTCCGCTCTCTTTCCCATTCTCCTCTGCCTACCCCCCCCCACCTTTCTCAACCGTTTCCTCTTTCCCGCCCCCCTCTCGCGCCCGCCGTGGCGCGGTGGTGTGGCAGCGGCCGGGGCTGGAGGCGATACGGCGGGACGAGTGGTTTCAGCGCGACTACCAGCGGGCCTACCCGCTGCCCGACGACACTGAGGGGCAGGGGGGCACTGAGGACGTGCTGCTTCATGCCCGGGTGAGAGGAGAGGGGGGGGGAAGAGGGGGGTAAGGGGGGGGAGTGGCAGGGGGAGAGGGGGGCGAGGGAAGGGACGGGATGGAGAGGGGCAGAGGGAGGGCGGCATGGTGGTGGTGGATGCGCTGATAGGATGCTGCGCTCTGTGCTGCGCCATGCCCTCGCCCTGCCCTCGCCCTGCCCTGCCCCCATTCCTCTTGCTTACTCCTCAAGCCTCCGTCCATTCCCATTCCTGCCCGTGTCCCGCTGCTCTCCCGTGTGCTTGTGTGCTCCCCATCCCCCCCACCAGCTGCACCCGGTGGCGGAGCTGTCTGTGCGGGTGCCGCACTCGCCCTCCCTGCAGGCGTCGCTGCCCGTCTCCCTCAGCCCTCGCACCACTGCAGCAGCCGCACCTCCGGCAGCAGCAGCGCTGGGTGGTCGTGAGGCACAGGGAGGGGTGGCGGAGGAGGGGCGGGCAGGGGGTGCAGGAGAGGGGGGGGCGGGAGCGGGGGCAGGGGACGAGGGACCGGAGTGGGTGAACGCGTTTGACCTGATAGCGCGGGCACACGCGCTGGACTTGGGGGCGCTCTTCCACCGCCGCGCCCACCCCGTGCTGCGCCACACGCGCTTCGCCTCGCGCCTGCCGCCCGCCCTCATCCGCTCGCGCCTCCTCGCCCTCGCCCCCGCCCTGCACGCCCACGCGCACGCCAACCTCTTCAAGGTGCCGCGCAGGGCAGGGGGCGAGGGGTGTACGGCACGGGGGAGGAGGGGGCATAGAGAACCTGGTGGGAGTGAGGCTGTGTGGCGAGAGGTGGACTATGCGAGAGATGAATGCTGTGCCCTGCCTTGCCATGTGCCCCACATCTCCTGCACTCACCCCTTGTGCCCGCCCTCTAATGTGTGACCCCTGCCGCCTCATGTGGCGATGCTGCTGCTGCGGGCGGCACATGGCAGATTCGATTGGAGCGACCAGCAACAGCGCAAGGCGGCCATCTCACCGTGGTCATTCAGGTACTGTGCTCATGCCCATGCACTCCCTCGGGCTCCCATGCTCGCATCCGTGCTGCATGTGTGTGTCCCTTGCTGCGTGTACGCATGCAACCCCCTTGCATGCAACCCCCTGGATTTAACTCCCTGGATCGTGAGAGCATGGGATAACCGTTTTTCCCGCCATGTGTTGCTGTCCCATCTGCGCCACTTTCAAAATGACCCTATGGCTTGTCTGTCGTTGCGGTGGGGTGGGGTGCGGTGCAGATATTTGAGATGACGGCGGGGGTGTTCATGGTGGAAGCACGCAAGGCTGCCGGCGACACCCTCGAGTATCACAAGGTCAGCCCAGCAGCCTAATCTCCCTTCTTCCCCGCCCCCCTTATTCCCTGCCCTCGAGTACCACAAGGTCACCCCACCCGCCTTACACCTCCTCGCCCCTCCTCGCCCCTCCTGGCCCCTCCTAAGTAGGCTACTGCTGCCGCCTTGCACCCGTCTCCTCTCGATGAAGCTGACTTGGTAGCTTGAGCGTGTGCAGCAAGCAATGCAGGGGGTAGGCACAGTGCAGTATGGATGCCTGCTGGCATGTGGTGCATGCCCGCCCACCACTGCACGCCACTCACCGCGCCTTCTGCCTTTTCACCAGTGGGGTCTGCCGCAGCATGAGAGTGTGAGAGCACAAGCAGGCAACCGATGAGTATACTGAAAGCGTGCTTCTGTGCTCTGTGTGTGGGTGGGTGGGTGGGTGGTACGTGTGTGGGTGGGTGGGTGAGTGTGTGGGTGGGTGGGTGAGTGTGTGGGTGTGTGTGAATGCCATGTGTGCGGCCTGTGCCTGTGACACACCACTGTGCAGTTCTATCGCAGTCTGGTTGCACGGGCCAAGGACCTGGTGTGGCACCCAGACGCCGCTGCCGCCCTGCCAGCATCACCAGAGGCGCCACTCGCAGTGCCGCCACCACTGGTATCCGACAGTCCTGCAGCAATCACGGTAGCTGCAACAGCAACAGCAGAAACAGCAGCAGGAGGGGCAGCAACAGCGCTAACAGCAACAGCAGCAGCAACAGCAACAGCAGCAACAGCAACAGCAGCAACAGCAACAGCAACAGCAGCAACAGCAACAGCAACAGCAGCAACAGCAACAGCAGCAGCAACAGCAACAGCAGCAACAGCAACAGCAACAGCAGCAACAGCAACAGCAACAGCAGCAACAGCAACAGCAACAGCAGCAACAGCAACAGCAGCAGGTAATAGTGACGTGAATGAAGGGACAGTAAAGAGCAGTGGGAAGGTAGAGGAGCCACAAGGGCGCATGGAGGAGAAGCACAGAGGCTCACCCACCACCATGCATTCTACAGGATGTGTGGTGCCAACAACAAACAGCAGGCGAGGATTCTCAGGCTGACCAACATATTATGCGATTTATGTTGTTGCAGTTTGTGTGTATTATAGCGTTACTCTGTGCATATCATTTTGCAATGGTTGTCAGATCCCATTCCACATTCCTAAATCACTTCACTTCAGATGTTTGCATAGGTGAGATGTTGAGATGTGAATGAACATACTTAACTCTGTACGCTGAAAGAACTCCATGCTGGTTGTACCCAGTTTCATCCGCCTGTACAGGTGTGCATTTCTGGTCCCTGAATGCATACATCCTCCTACGTGATAATATTGAGAGAGGTTGACTTTTTTTATGTACAGTACGTCCTACTGTCTACGCAAGTGTAGTGTAGTGTACTCACTTTTGTGGCTCGCGACAGGGTGTGACCCACGTGAAGCCGTTGTTGATTGTTTCCAGAAGCGACCTTCAGCGGTTGCCACGCAGGCACCTCACACCTGACTCGGTCATCCTGGCTTCCCATTTGTTTTCCAAAATTTACCGAGTGTAGTGAATGAGTCTTGTTAATCCGAAACCCGGGGTCCCTCCCTTCATTTTCGAATTTCATGCGTAGTTCCTACTAACAGTTTGCTAAGCTTAAGAGTTCTTACGAAAGGCTGTCCTGATAAAAAGTTCCGTACTTTCGAGGTCAATTGGCGCATTAACTCGTTGCAATCTTCCAGAAGGCATCTGAAAATCCAGCTGTGAGGACTGGTATAAACGACAGATGCCAGTCTGTCTGGTCGGCTAGCTCAATTATGAGAGTTCACTTCGCGTTTTTTGCTCAGTCTTGGAGATTTAGGTACGTCCAAATCCCAGACGACCGAAACCTGGGTGCCCAGCATGGCAATGGTGACTCGGGTCTTGCCCAGGGCTGGCTAGGCTTTGACCAAACCTGATCTGAGATGTTTGGCCATTAGGATCTGCTAGGGTGGCCAGCCCTAACCTCAACTGGCGGTACCCGTCACCGACCCATCCCAGCAAGCACGTGACACGCTCAGACCCGAATCGCATGCCGCGTGATGTGGATCATAAAATGTGCAACTGATCCCTCTGGCCCTCGCATGCTTCCGTGCGGCTTGTCCTCTCGACACCAGAAGACCAGACACGTTAGGAACCACCAGCTTTTTGGATCAATCATCGCCAGCTCCGTCGTATGTCTAGATTCTAGAGAGCGATTATGCCTGCTGCTACTTCAAGTCCATTTTTCCTGCATCCCAACGTTACACACTGGCTTTTCAACTTCCAGACTCCTTACGTACATAGTTTTACTACCAGAGCCGAACTTGCGAAGTACTTTTTCGACTCAGATACGCAGCTAACGCATTGCTTTTCCGGTTTGAGCTAGCAATCTATCACTTCGACGAATTGAAAGATCGGCCAGCCATGATCATGTGCCCTCGGAGCTCGTCCTTCGACGGGGCCGTCTCAGTCTCTTACCGCCCATCCGTCCCGCACCCACCTATTTCGCCGTCCGGAGTCGAGACGCCGTCGCGGCTAGGCCAGAGCCGTTTGGACGACGTGGGGATGCGCTCGCTGGAGAGCAAGCTTGAGCTGCTCCACGCGCAGCGAGAGCTGAGCGCCCTTCGCTGCCAGACGTTCATCGACCAGCTCGAATCCGCCTTCCAATCCCAACCTCCCACTCAAGCCGACCGACTCGCACGCCGCCCTCCCTCCGTGCGGGCGCGTCGCGCGTCGCTCGATCTGTCGAGGGCGGAGAGCGCGCAGTTGGCGCAGGAGCTGCGGTTCTACGATGAGCCGGCGAGGTTCGCCCGCTCGCACTCCCACAGCGCCAGTGCCAGTCCAGCCGCCGCAGTGCCGCGTCCGCGATTCCCGCGCTCCAAGTCGCATCGCGGGCCCAGCCGAGGCTCCTCCCCCAGCCCGGCCGCTTTTGTCCGGCGCCACTCCAGCCCTGGCGTCGCCCGCCACTCCCCCAGTTTGTCGTTCTCATCAGCTGGGACGGACGGGCCGGAAAGCCTGAGCTGTAGTTTGGGGGTCCGCGCGAGCAACGCAGGTGCGCGCGAGTCTTTCATGGTGTCGCGACCAAGTCTCAAGGACCGCCTGCCGTATTCGAGACACGGCGACGACGTGCGGGAGGCGGAGATGATGGCGCAAGAGGCGACTCGATGAGAGTCACGACTGCGACTGCCGCGTGACAGCATGCGCGGACAGGCCCGCGGACAGTGCGTGACGCTCCAGCTGCACCCAATACGAGTTCACCTGGAGCTGCGCGCAGGGTCGGGGCGTCGTGTACCTGCGCGTTGGAGTTGGACATCGAAGCTACGGAAGCCGCGGTGCAGCACCTCGCTGGCGCCACCGTGCTGGTGGCGGGACGGAAAGAGAGCATCCGCGCCCACAACCTGGGCCAAACCGCGCAGCACTTATCCCAGAAATAAGTCTGCAAGGGGTTTGGGGAGGAATGCGGGGGCTTTTGAACCGTCAACTGCTCCGCTTCCGGAGGCTTTGCCCATTCCACGGCCGGAGGAGTGGTCGCCTCCATCATTCCCCTACCCACCGGAGTCGCAGCCTCAGACTCACTGCGGCGCGTCTGTGTGAAGGACGAGAAAGGCAATGCATACTCAGCAGCTCGTGTGAGGCGATGGAAGCCACGAGAATGGCATAAGCATTTGACAGACACGATCGTGAAGCACCATAGCCGGATCAGCACGCTCACTGATCTGCTTGTCATACGGAATTTCTCCTTTGTAGCATCAGTTCTTGCAACATATTTGCAGCAATAGCGTGGTTGACATAAGTAAATGGGACAGCTGCTTAGAAAGTATTATAAATTCCAATAATACATTTTTCTGCATTAACGGCACTTTGCGGGAAGTAGTGCCGCAACAAAATCTTGAGCCGGAGCTTGGCCCAGAAGATTCAATCCAAAATGAGGCGAGAACAGATAGCCAGGCGGCATGGCATGGCAAAATGACGACGCTGACTTGGCATGCTTGCTGTCTTCCATGTTCCTTCACAACCGCATTAGGCGCACAAGAGCGCGCAAGCGGGTAAAACCAATCCCTCGAAAGGGCAAAACCGAGGCCAAGGCTGGTCCGGTGCACGACGGTGCAACGGAGAGCTGGGTTGTGAAAAAAGTCCGCACGGATCGCGGCAAAGGTCCACGTTGGCGTGGCGGAAAAGGTGGTCGTTGGGGCGGCAAGGCGAAGCGCCACGGTAATGCGGAAAACTGACAGTTCAATCGACGAGTGCGGCTTGCGCCCGCTGAATCCGCGTGCGCGCGGCCCAGTGAAACACGGACTCATCGGCGCGACGCACGTCCACGCACGGGGGCCCGTGGCGAGTCGACGACGCCGACGGGGCTTTGGAGTTGACTTCCTCTCGAGCCACGCGCATACGAGCCGCACTGGGAGCAACAGGAGCCGCTTGCGACTCGCAGGCTCGCGTCGTTACAGCAGCAGGCTCTGCCGCGGCCCCGCGTGGTGCGCTGGGAGCAGCCCACTGCGGGCAGGAGAGCGTCCGGCGGCACGACGGCGATGACGTGCACGACTGCTCGCAGGCGAGCTCGACGGCGACGGACGGCGTTGCGCACGACTGCGTGCGCACGAGAGTAGGCCGGCGGGGACTGCTACCATGGCACGCGGCATCCCAATAGTAAAGACGGCGCTGAAGGCGGGAGGGAGAGGAAATGACGGCGATGGGGTTGAGAGACGAGGAGGCGGGGTGGATGGTGCAGTCGCAGCGCGTGGAGACGAGCGATGAGTCCGTGCTGGGAGCGGCCGGATGAAGAACGACGTTGGAGGGAAGCACGGGCAGAGAGCTGGTCTTGAGCAGCGACGAGGGGGAGAGAGCACCGCCCATACTGACTGACTGACACGAAGAACCTTGAAGCTGGGCCATTTAGCGTAGTTAGGCTCAAAATTAAAAGACAGAGAGACACCCAGGGCAATAAAACGTAACGCTGCTGAAGAATGAATTGGTTGGAAGGGTCATGTTTGTGGGTCAAATTGGGGAAAACTCAAGGCAAGGCTATATCTGCCTCGAAAGCTTCCAGTGAGGGACCCAACGGCCCTGGACGGAACGCAGAGAAAGCGGGCCCGCCACAGGCTTGGGGTTGCTGTTGCAGAGGAACTGGGAGAGGTGGAGGCCTAGATGAGGCAATGGTTTCCCGTCAACCGCCATGTGCGCGGTCCTAGCACTGTTCCGCGCATCATGCAGGGGAGGGGAGTAACAGTGAGCACACATGCACTCAGCGACGGGGGAAACAGTGCGTGCTTGTGGCAGCATTCGAAATTATTTTTTCCGAAGGGACCCGTCCTGCCTGAGCTGGACAATCAAAACAAATTATCTTCTGAATGCCGTTGTGTGAACTGAAATCATTGGGTGCTTTCTGTTTGGCATATGGCGTACAAAACTGTAAGCTACACTTCAATCTGCCCCTCACAACTGTAGTCCGAAATCAGGGACCTTTTCCTCTGATTGGGAGATATACTAAATCTATACAGAAATACACGAGCGATGGATCTGCAGCATCTGCCCCGTTCACGTTCAGCTGAACAGTACATATTCCAGCTGTCGAAGTGTTGCCTCACATCCGATGATGGTTGGATGTTGGAAGAAGCATCGCTATAGTAGGGTATCCAAACTGGAGATTCCTCCACACCAGCGGTAAGCCGACGAGCTGTTTTGGATGAGATTGGCTGACAGGCTCAACACATCACCAAGGAGCGTGGCGTGGGGATTATTGGACATGTGCACCCATAATCAGGGGTGTACGAATGAACTCCACCTTACGTTAAACCTGCGTAAGTCAACTACACCAACTGAGATGAAGAATCATCACCAAAGATTCGTCGTCACCGTTGGCACTTCGACGCAGAAGGGAACGTGATGTCGAGTTTGCTTTTCAAACCGTACTCAACCTTTGTTTAACTTACGAAACGCGTTTTACCACGTACAGCATCGCACCGCAACGTAAGAAAGTGCTTGTGCGACACGCCCCTAACCGTGAGTGCAACGGCAGTTGTACTTGCTACGAAAAGCGACACCAGGGGGAAAAGGAGCTTCTGGAACAACTGTAGTCGGCGTGGTCAGATCGAGAGAGAGGGGGCTGGATTGTCCTTTGCTCAGATTACAACACAAGTTGGAATGTGTAAAGCAGCAATTCTTGGTATCGCACAGTGCAACACGCGTGAAAACAAAACCGCGTGACAGAACAAGGTGGTTCATGGTAACCAGGTGTGCAGCGCTGTATGAATGTACATCAAAATCAGCATTTTTCAGTGGTATGGATGCACTCCCAAGATCTAATACCTACTCTAATCCATTCCTCACCAGTTATCAAGTATTCATCTCCATGCAAGGAAAAATGATTCTCTGGAGATCACGGAAGCTTACCTTTCTACATTGATGCTCGTGCATTTTAATTGACGATAAATGATTGCACTACCACATTAGCGTTAACATCTATCCTCCTGGCCTGACAACTTACAATACACACGTACAAGCGTGTTTTGAGAAGCCTCGAGTAGGATCCAGCTTACGTATCCCTAAACAGGCAGTGCATGTACAGCAGGTGTAGCCAGGGATGGATGCGTGGGTTCATGCCTACCTCATCATGCCATGCACCTCTCAGAATAGGAATGCAACGGAATGCCGAAACTAGAAAGTGTGAGAGTACAAATATGCAACCCTAACAAATGTACTCCCTATTGTGCTACTCACTGTAGCCTACAAACATAGAATTACATTTGACACCCCCATAGGCTAAGTGAGGGGCATCAAAGCAAGCAAGGTGAACAAACGGTCACAAGACCAGTCAAAGCAAGAAACAAGGCAAGCTCAGGGTGGATCTCAAGGACACCATACAAACTCCGAGCGCAACCAAGCGGCCACAAGGCCAGTTCAAGAGTTCACTAGGATATAAATAGGAAGCACAACAAGCAGAGCAAACAACAGGACTGCAGCAACCGAGGGCCTACCTCAACAAGCCCCAACTGCACACAGAACCTGTGGTGATCACCAAGCGCCAAGGCCTTGGTGAAGACGTCTGCAGTGTTGGCCTCTGAGGCCACAAAGTCCAGGCGTGCCTGGCCGCGTCGCTGCAGCTCTCGCAGGAGGAAGTACCTCACGTCAATATGCTTCACTCTGCTCTCCAGTCGAGGCTCTCGACAAAGGAGGATCATGGCCTTGTTGTCAGCGTACAAGGTCGGTGCAGAGCAAGGCCGCTCACCAAGGTCGGCGAGCAAGAAGGTCAACCAGCGAAGCTCCTGTGCTGCCATGGCACCAGCGTAGATCTCTGCCTCTGCACTGGAACTAGCCACAGAAGACGACCGTCAGCACCAGCTCCCAGACTGAAGCAGTAACCCTGAGTCGAGCGCTGAGTCTCCACGTCGTCAGCGTAGGAAGAGTCGCAGTGACCACTCAACACCACTAGCTGAGTCCCTCCAAGCACAAGCCCCATGCCTGATGTAGTCGCCAGGTACTTCGCCACCCTCACAGCAGCTGTCCAGTGGACACGACGGTGTCTCCCAGTCGCAACAAAGCGACAGAGGATGCTGAGGGGAAAGGCGAGGTCCGGCCGAGTACAAGTCATCAGGTACATGAGGCAGCCCACAAGCTCTGCGTAGGGACCAATGGGCTCAAAGGGCTCGTCAGGAAAGGGGCCAGTGAGTCGGTGGTCAACAGCAAGAGGAGTGGGCTGTGTGGTGGAGAACTGGAAGTCGAACCGCCGAAGGACCTGCTGCACCATGTGTGACTGCGTCAGTGTGATGGTGCGAGCGGCTCTATCCCTGGTGATCTGCAAGCCAAGGTAGCGCTGCAGCTCACCCAGGTCAGTACATTTGTGTCTCTTCTGCAGTTCGTACTTCACATGAGCCAGTGCTGCCCTGTCTGCGGTAGCAAACACCAAGTCGTCGACGTAGACAACGATAAAGAAAGGAGTAGAACCCGCTCGAACAAACAGCGACGGGTCGGCGGAGGACGGGCTGAACCCAAGGTCACGAAGTGTGGAGCGAAGAGTGTCGTGCCACTCACGGGGCGACTGGCGGAGACCGTAGACTGGTCGCCTCAGGCTCCACTGGGTCCCAGGTGGGAAGGTGTCAGTGAAGCCAGGAGGACGGCGCAGCCAGATCTCCTCGTGCAGTCGGCCCTAGAGGAACGCAGTGGAGAAGTCGAGGGAGTGCAGCTCGTAGTCTCGCTACGCTGCTATGTGGAGTAACACCCGAAGAGTAGTCATCTTCGGGGTCGGGGCGAAGGTCTGGAAGAAGTCAACTCCCTCACGCTGACTGATGTGAAAACAAGTGAACAGGAATGAATTGACTAAGTCAGGGTTGGGTACAAATACAACCCTAGAAAGCTGTACCCCATATGTGCTACCCCACTATAGCCTACAAACATGTATCAACTATGATAATCTGACACACCCCCATAGGCAAAGTGGGGGAGAACAAGGGGTCACAAGACCAGTCAAGCAAAGCAAAGCAAAGCAAGCTCAGGGTGGATCACAAAGTCACCACACAGTCCGAGCACAAGAGCAGGGTCAGAGGCCAGTTCACATGCAAGAGTACAGACATATATATAAAACTAGACAAACAAGAGCAGGTATATATATATATGTCACAGTACAAGTGAAGTCAAGAGGAGAGCAAGTGAGGCAAGACAGGTACAAGACCCAGCTGGGTGCAAAAGCGCTGATGGTCACAAGGCGCGAGTGCCTTGGTGAACACATCAGCAGTGTTGGCCTCAGAGGCCACGTACGCAAGTCGCAACTGACCACGCTGCTGCAGCTCACGAGCAAGGAAGTAGCGGAGAGCAATGTGCTTCGTTCTGTGCTCCAAGCGCTGCTCTCGACACAAGGCCAGCATGGCCTTGTTGTCTACGTACAGCACTGGAGGAGAACGAGGCGGCTCTCCAAGGTCAGTCAGCAGGTAGGTGAGCCAGCGAAGCTCCTGTGCAGCCATGGCCCCGGCGTAGATCTCAGCCTCACAACTGGAGCCGAGAACCGAAGACGAGCGAGTAGACCGCCACGAGACAGAGCCGGAACCAAGGCTGAAGGTGTAACCCTGTGACGACCGCTGCGTAGCCTGGTCGTCAGCCCAAGAAGCGTCCGCGTGGCCGGTAAGGACCACTGGACTCCGCCCTCCAAGCACTAGCCCCATGCCCGACGTACTGCACAGGTAGCGCAATACCCTCTTCGCTGCAGCCATGTGCTCCGGTCTGTGTCTCCCAGGAGCAACATAGCGTGCAAGAATGCTCAGAGGGTATGCAAGGTCAGGTCGTGTGCAGGTCATCAGGTACATGAGGCAGCCAACAAGCTCTGCATACGGACCACTCGACTCTACGGACTCATCCGAAGGCAGAGCTGAGAGTGAGTGGCGAGTAAGCAGAGGAGTGGCCTGAGGCAAGGAGTACGTAAAGCCGAAGCGCTGAAGGACCTGCTGCACCATGTGTGACTGAGTCAAGGTAATGGTGCGGCGTGCTCTGTCCCGAGTGATCTGCAAGCCAAGGTAGCTGCGCAGTTCACCCAGGTCTGTACACGTGTGTCTCTTCAGCAGCTCGGACTTCACGTAGGCGAGTCCAGCAGTGTCCGCTGTGGCAAAGACCAAGTCGTCGACGTACACGAGGATGTAGAACGGCGGCAGGGAAGTGTCGGTGCGAAGAAACAGCGACGGGTCAGCAGTAGAAGGAGCAAACCCAAGAGCCGCAAGCGTAGTCCTCAGTGTGTCGTGCCACTCACGCGGTGCCTGGCGGAGACCGTAGACTGGCCGTCGGAGGCTCCACTGGGTGCCAGGAGGGAAAGACCCAGTGAAGCCAGGTGGACGGCGAAGCCAGATCTCCTCGTGCAGGCTACCCTGCAAGAACGCAGTGCTGAAGTCGAGAGAGTGAAGCTCGTAGTCGCGCTGAGCGGCTATGTGCAGCAGCAGCCGAAGAGTAGTCATCTTCGGGGTGGGAGAGAAGGTCTGAAAGTAGTCAACTCCGTGCCGCTTACTGAAGCCACGAGCAACGTACCGTGCCTTGAAGACAGGTGGAGAGCCCGGCGGCGGCTTCACCCTGAAGATCCACATGCCACTGACGATGTTCGCCCCAGGAGGGGGAACCGCGTCAACGTAGGTGCCTGTGGACTTCCAGGAAGCCATCTCTGCATCCATAGCTGCCTGCCACTGAGAGGAGTAGGGACCCTCTACGGCCTCCGCGTAAGAACGCGGAGTCGGGATGTCTAGTGCATCCGGGTCTCCCTCAGGGGCAAGCAGTACAGACGCGAGATGAGGTGAAGCAGCCGCTAGACACTGTAACTCCTCCTGCCTGTCCTCTAGGACGTCCGTGCCAAGAGCACACTCACCCCCGACGGACGGAGGACAGACAGACGCAGACCCAGCAACAAGACTAGCAGCGTAGTCGAGACGACAGCGAGCAGCAAAGTCGACGAGCTCAGCGACTAGAGCAGACGCAGCAGTGGACTCAAAAGAGGGGTCAGTGACGACAGTAGCAAGCAGACGCGTGACAGTAGGACTGGCAGCACGAAGAGAGTCCGACTCAGGGTCGGCAAGCGCAGGAAGAGAGGACTCAGGAGGAGAAGGCAAAGGGGCACGCAGAGGAGCAGTGGACGGACGCAAAGACATCCGGTGCGTGCCAGGGACAGGAGGAGGACGCTGACGCGAACCACGACCACTAGCGCGAGCAGCACGAACAGGCGACGCAGGACGAGACGCAGGCTCACGACGCTCAGCAAGACCTCCAGTAGGACCAGTGTAAGGAGAGGGAGCAGGCAGTGGAGAGGAAGGCTCCAGCAGGGACTGTGACTGGACAGGCGGTGGACCCTCTACTGGAGGAGAAAGACCAAGAACCTGCTGCAGGAGCGGAACGAAGTACGGCCGAGGCCGCGCGGCAGCTCCAGACGCAGCAGGGACAGCACTAGCACCCTCAGCGACAGCACCAGCGTCACCCACACCTCCAGCGGCGGGACCAACAGCAGTAGGCTCAGCACCAACGCCCTCAGCAGCTCCAGCTCCAGGAGGACCCGCAGGTCCAGCAGCTCCGGGACAGGCAGCACCCGCACCCTCGACAGTCGAAGAAGCTCCAGCTCCAGCTCCAGCAGCACCTCCAGACTCAGCACCACGCCTCCAGCGGCGAGCGAACCACTCGCGCAGCTCCTGTGGAGAGAGGGGCTCCCGGCGAGGCGCAGCAGCAGGAGAAACCCCAGGCTCAGCAGCTCCAGACGCAGCACCCCCAGGCTCAGCAGCTCCCAGCTCAGCACCCCCATGCTCAGCAGCTCCCGACCCAGCACCTCCAGGCACAGCACCCCCCTGCTCAGCACCCGCAGGCTCCGCACCCCCCGCAGTAGCACCCTCAGGCCCAGCACCCCCAGCAGTAGCACCCCCAGGCTCAGCACCCCCGCGCACAGCACCCCCAGAGTCAGCACCCCCAGGCTCAGCACCCGCAGCAGCACGAGAGTCACCAGTAACCTCGACCGGGTCAACGGCGTCTACCTGGGACACACCTGAGGGGGCAGGAACCTGAGGGGGAAGGGGGTCTACCGGGGGGGGGAACTGGCACAAGGAAGTCCGAGGGAGGGGGGAGGGAAGGAGTGCGGTAGGGGAAGAGACGGTAGAAGGGGACTGACTCGTCGAACGTGACGTCCTGGGAGGACAGAACACGACGAGAGGAGGGGTGGTAAAACTGCCACCCTGGGGCGTCAGTGGGGAAGCCAAGGAAGACACAGGGAGCAGCACGAGGGGACAGCTTGTCCGCAGACAAGTCGCGGACAAACGCCCGAGATCCCCAGACACGGAACACAGACGCATCGCCAACCTTCCCCGTCCACAGCAAGGCTGGGGACATCGCAGACCGAGAGACCCGGGGGTGAAGGTTGAGCTGATGCGCCGCGTACCTCACCGCAAACGGCCACAGAAAATGGGAGGCAGCCGCATGCATCATGGACGTATGAGCGACATCCATGACCATGCCAATGCGGCGCTCAGCAATCCCATTTTGCTGTGGTGACTCGGAAGCGTGAAGGTCTGGCGGATCCCCCGTGCACGACAGTAGTCCCGCAGAAGGCGAAAAGAGAACTCTCCGCCTCTGTCCGAGTGCAGACGCAGAACAGGAAAGTCCGAGCCGAAGCTCTTCCTGAGCTGGAGACGAGCCTCGCGGATCCAGCCGATCAGCACCTCAGTGACCGCACCCTTGCTGCGCAAGGGGAGGACTGTGGTGTAACGCGAGTAGTCGTCAACCACCAACAGGAAGTAGCGCTTGTAACCCTGCCCACGGACGGGTGCTGGGCCCCACACATCCATGTGAAGCGTCTGCAGGGGAGCCTCTGTCGGGGGGAAGTGGGAGGAGTGAGGAGTAGCCCGGAGGCGACCCTCGACACAGGGGACACAGGAAGGTCCTGGCCCGGAGGGGAGAGGAGGGAGAGACTGGGGAAGACCAGAGACAAGGACACGGGAAGCCATGCTCCGAAGACGAGGCAAGGAGGGGTGGCCAAGACGGTGGTGCCACACGAGAGTCTCGTGAGACAGGAAGCGACAAGAACAGGGGGCAGACTCAGGACCTGACCGGGACGCAGCAGTAAGCACCTGACCCGACGCAACCACCTCACCAGACGCAGGGACAGGAGGAGACTCAACGGTCAGGGTGTAGAGACTTGACCCCGGCCGACGCGAGAACGTGGCCAGGTGTCGGCGTGTGCGTGCCTCCGTGCAGTGGGTCACCCGCTGACTCGCAGGAGTGAACTGGTGAACCCCCACATCCTGCAGGTCCGCTCCACTCACCAAGTTCGTAGAGAACGAGGGAAGGTACAGACCCGACAGGGTGCCCGAAGGGGCAGCCGGACACGGGAGGACAGTGGAGAAGTGAGACAGGACAGGACCCCCAGAGGGGTCAGCAAGGGAGACCGCAACCGGCCGGCCGAGCGGCGTAAGGGTAGTGCGGTCTCGAAAGAAGGAGCGAGAAGCTCCGGAGTCAAGTGTGAAAGTGAGGGAGGACGAGGACGACGCAGTACCTGAGAGCGCAGTCTCACCAGTACCTGAGAGCACAGACGCACTGGCACCTAGAGCAGCAGCCTCACAAGCACCTAGCGCAGCAGTACCAATGCCCGGGTCGGGCTGGAAACAACGGTAACCCTCATTCTCCTCACTATAATCCACAACATACATAGCAGCAAGGATAGCATCAAAATCAAGATCAAAGATCGCTACACCAGCCCTGAGAAGCTCATCCCAGCGAGGGATCTCACTAGCCCCAGGGAACTGCTGACGCCAAGCGTCCGTCAGGCGGCCAAAGCAGCGCTGGGTGGCGTGGGCACCCCCACACTGCTCACCCGCGCGGTCGCCGGAACGAAGAACGTAGGTGCAGGGACCAGTACCCCCACCCCTCTGACGCCCAGCGTACCACTCACGGAGCTGCTGAGGCGGAGGGATGTCCCGCGAGCGCTGCTGCTGCTGCTGCCGCTGCGAGCGCTGGCCACCACCACCGCCGCTACGCTGCTGGGTACCACCTCGACCAGCTCCACCTCCTCCACCACCACCGCCTCCTCCGCTGCCGCCTCCACCGCCTCCACCTCCGCCGCCTCCACCTCCGCCGCTGCCTCCACCACCACCGCTGGCACCACCACCACCGTCTCCGCCGCTGCTGCCACCACCACCACCACCCCCACCACCAGTCCCGCCGCCACCCCCACTCCCTCCGCCGCCACCGCCGCCACCGCCACCGCCCCCTCCAGCTCCACCCGCGCCCTTGCCCCCCTTGCCCTTGCTGGAGCGACGTCTCCCACTAGGGGCAGACGCCGCGCCGACCGACTCAAGACCAAGCAGGTCGGCAGCAGCAGCAGAGGCAACAGAGGGCAGCAAGGGGGAAGGAGAGCACCCCTCAAAGATGGGGGTGCGAGGGTCACCACGAGAAGCACCTACAGCGACTATGCTCTTCTCCGCTGCGAGGAGGGCCTTCTCGAGGAGGTCGACGGTGAGGGTGGTGGGACAGACTGCGAGAAAGTGGTCCCTGACGACGCGAAGGGAGTCAGGGAGGCGCGCGACTACGTAGTAGAGAGCGATGTACATGGGGGGGGGGGTCTTAGCGCAGAACTCAGCAGGAAGGGCGGCGCGGTAGCGAGTGTCACTAGTGCGGAGGTGCGTAATGAGGTCAGCGACAGTGGGAAAGGCAGAGAGGTCAGGAAAGAGGTAGGGAAGCATGAGACGGCTCAGTGCAGCAGTGGCAGGGGAGGAGTAGCGTGCAACTACAGCGTCGTACAAGGTCTGAGCACTCTTGTACTGACTAAAGTGCGCACGCTCAGAGGTAGGGAGGTGGCGACGCACAGCAAGACGTGCAGCAGCATCGCGGGTGGCCCACTTAGAGCGGACAGTGGGATCAGCATCAGCAGCAGGAGCAGGAGAGGCGCCAGAGGTGAGGTCAAAGAGAGAAAGGTCGTCAGCCCTGTCGCACTGTAAGAACAGCTGCAGGTCGTCTAACCAGACCTCAAAATCAATGGCGCGACCCTCAGCGTCAAAAGCTAGGACACTAGGGGTAGCCATGGCGACGACAGCGACGCAGTGCAAGCAGTAGGGAAAGAGCTCGCAGTGTCTTTGGGACTGTGCTCACCAGGCAGGGCAGGTCGTGCAGCTATGCAGAAAGGCGGCTCAGCGACCGGGCGGCTCGGGTGCACAGCGGCTCGGCTCCCGGGCGGCTCGGCAGCAGGGCGGCTCGGGTCCCGGGCGGCTCGGCGTTGGGCGGCTCGGCTCCCGGGGGGTTCGGCTGCTGGGGCGGCTCGCTGCTGGGGCGGCTCGGCCGGGAGATGCAGGGGCGGGGCCGTCAGGTGCAGCGGCGGGTCGACCGGTGCAGCGGCGGGCCGGCAGGTGCAGTGGCGGGGCCGTAGGGTGCAGCGGCGGGCCGACCAGGTGGGACGGCGGGCCGTAGGGTGCAGCGGCGGGCCGTGGGGTGCAGCGGCGGGCCGGCAGGTGCAGCGGCGGGGCCGTCAGGTGGAGCGGCGGGCCGCTGGGTGCAGCGGCGGGCCGGCAGGTGCAGCTGCGGGCCGGCAGGTGCAGCGGCGGGCCGGCAGGTGCAGCGGCGGGCCGGCAGGTGCAGCGGCGGGCCGGCAGGTGCAGCGGCGGGCCGGCAGGTGGAGCGGCGGGCCGGCAGGTGCAGCGGCGGGCCGGCAGGCCAGCGGCGGGCCGGCAGGTGGGGCCGCGTCAGGGGAGGCGGCGGGGCCGCGTCAAGCAGGCGGCGGGGCCGCGACTAAGCGGGCGGCAGGGCCGCGTCAGAGCCGGCGGAGCGGGGCCGCGTCAGTGGAGGCGGCGGGGCCGCGTCAAGTAGGTGGCGGTCCGCGATCAGGAGGGGTGGCGGGGCCGCGTCTGAGGGACAGCGGGGCCGCGAGGGAAATGGCGACCCGAGGGGTCGCTAAAAAAAAAAGGCGCGCCTCGGGGCGCGCTTCGGTGGGCCCTAAAAAAAAACGGTCCTAAGGAAGGACCCGCTCTATACCATGTGAAAACAAGTGAACAGGAATGAATTGACTAAGTCAGGGTTGGGTACAAATACAACCCTAGAAAGCTGTACCCCATATGTGCTACCCCACTATAGCCTACAAACATGTATCAACTATGATAATCTGACAACTGAAACCCCTAGCCACGTAGCGCGCCTTGAACACCGGCGGTGCTCCAGGCGGCCGCTTCACCTTGAAGAGCCACATGCCATCAACTACATTCGCCCTGGGAGGGGGAACTGCGTCGACGTAGGTGCCTGTGGATCTCCAAGACGCCAACTCTGAGTCCATAGCCGCTTTCCACTGAGAGGCCCACGCCCCTGACACTGCCTCGCGGTAAGTGCAAGGAGTCGGTATGTCAAGGGCGTCGGGGTCTCCCTCAGGGGAGAGCAGCATGGCACACACAGAGGGAGAAGCGGCTGCCCAGTACTCCAGCTCAGACTCTCTGTCCTCTAGGACGTCACAGCCAAGGGCAAACCCACCCCCGACGGACAGAGGACGGTAGGGAGGAGCTGGCACCACACGGGTGGCGTAGTCAAGGCGGCTAGCGGCAGGAAACTCAGCGATAGCGGCAGTGAGAGCCGAGACAGACGACGGAGGGAAACGAGGGTCGGTGACAAGAGTGGTAAGGACACGTGCGGCAACAGGACGAACAGCGCGGTAGTAGTCAGAGTTAGGAGTGGGGAGGGCATGTAGAGAGGATGGAGGAGGAGACGGGAGAACGGACACAGGAGAAGGAGAACGACGACGAGACGAACAAAGGAGGGCAGTGTGAAGGTCAGTAACAGGGGACGAGTGACGAGCAAGCGGAGGAGAACGAGTGATCAAGTCGCGACGGACAGAGGGAGGAGGAGACTGAGGAGGAGAAGACGAGACCGCTGGACGGTTGTCAGGAGGAGGCAACGTAGGAACAAACACAGGAGGAGACTGGGGGCGGACAGGAGGAGAGGAGGAAAGGCCAAGGGCCCGCAGGCCACTCACAGGTGGGAAGAACCGCCGCTCGAGAGGAAGCTGCGGTGGCGGCGGCTGCGGCTGCTGCTGCTGCTGCTGCCGCTGCTGCTCCAGAAGGTCCAGCACCCGCAGCTCCTGCCGCTCCCTCTCCAACCGTTCCTGCTCCTCAAGCTCACGTCGACGGGCAGCCTGGAGACGCGTGTCGTGGCGGTGGGGGGGCGGAGTGGACTCCGCAGAACCAGGGTCTCCAGCGTCAGTCTCCTTAGACTCAGCTCCCCCTGAACCAGTACCGCCAGTGCCAGGACCTCCAACTCCAGCACCCTCATAACTAGCACCGCCAGTGCCAGCACCCCCAACTCCAGCACCCCCATAACCAGCACGTCCAGTGCCGGCACCTCCAGTTCCAGCACCCCCAGAGCTAGCGCCACTTGCGCCAGCACCTCCAGCTCCAGCACCCCCAGAGCTAGCGTCACCTGCGCCAGCACCTCCAGCTCAAGTACCCCGCGACCGAGCACCCCCAGACCGAGCACCGCCAGCGGCTGCACCTCCAGCTCCAACACCAACCGAGTCCACAGTAACCTGTTGCGGAAGTGCCGAAGGCTGCTGAGGGGACTTGGAGGAGGACTGCGGGGAGGGAGACGCTACCTGACGCGCGGCCGAGGGTAGAGGGGTAGCGTGGGACACACCAGGCGGGGCAGGACCAGGGGGGGGCGGGGGTACCGGAGGAGCGGGAGCAGGAGGAGGAGAGGGTGCAAGGAAGAGAGGGGGAGGGGTTACCGGGAGACCTTGACAGGGGTACCGGGTGTAGTAGGACACGGACTCGTCAAACCGGACGTCACGGGAGTCTAGGAACTGGTGGAGGGGAGGGTGGTAAAAGGACCAGTCAGCAGAGTCCACTGGGAAACCAAGGAAGACACAGGGGACGGCGCGTGCCGAGAGCTTATCCGCGGAGGTGTCGCGAACAAGTGCAAGGCAGCCCCAGACTCGAAAGGCCGACCCAACACCAGGGGATCCAGTCCAGAGACTGGTCGGTGAAGCCTCGGGCCGCGAGACACGCGGCTGGAGGTTCAGCTGGTGTGTGGCGTAGCGAACCGCGTGGGGCCGCAGAAAATGGGGCGCACGGGCATGAATCATGGACATACGGGCGATGTCCATGACCAAGCATATGCGGCGCTCAGCAACCCCATTCTGCTGTGGGGACTCTGGCAGCGTCCAGGACTGGGTGATGCCCTGTTCGCCGCAGAATCCGCCGAGAATGCCGGAGCGAAACTCGCCCCCACGGTCGGAGTGAAGACAACTGACTCGACGACCACGAGTGCCCTCAGTGGCTAGAAGCCACCCGACCAGCGTAGCAGTCACCTCGGACTTCTTCGCAAGAGGGAACACTGTGGTGTACCTGGAGAAGTCGTCGACGACCACCAGAAAGTAACGCTCCCTACCAGACCCCTGCGTCGGGGCAGGGCCCCAGACGTCCAAGTGGAGAGTCTCGAAGGGAGCGGTGGCCGGACGAAGGGAGGAGGAGTGGGGAGTGGCGCGTAAGCGACCGGTGACGCACGGAGAGCAAGGAGGGGCAAGCGAGAGAGGGAGCGACGGGAAGGTGCGTGGGAGACCTGTGACAAGTCCCTGACTGAGCATGCCACGAAGGCGAGGGATCGACGGGTGGCCAAGGTGGTGGTGCCACAGGACGGTGCGGTGGGCTAGAGAGCGACAGGAGCAAGACGCAGCGACTGGACTGGACACAGCGACCGGACCGGACACGACTACCTGGCTAGACACCGCAACTGGACTGGGGACCTGGGCCGGAGGGGACGCAACGACCTGAAGGGAGGACGCGACCGGGGAGCGCTCGATGTGGAGAACGTAGAGACCGGAGCGGGGCTCCCTGGTGAACGTGGCCAGAACAGCACCTGTGGTAGCGTCTGTACAGACTGCAGTCCGCCCACCCCCCACGAAGGTAACCGTGATCCCCCTGTCCTGGAGGTATCCAACACCCACCAAATTCCGAGTGAACGAGGGGATGTGGAGGCCGCGCAGGACACCAGAGGGGACCACAGGGCACGGGAGGGTGGTGGAGCTACGCGCAACGGCTGGTCCAGAGGTAGGATCAGCGAGAGCCACTGACACAGGAGTGAGGAGTGGCGTGAGGGTCGTGTGGTCGCGGAAGAAGCACTGAGACGCGCCCGAGTCCAGTGTGAACGACAGAGAGGCCTCAGCCGGAGGGTCACCTGATCCAGTCGCTACACAAGCACCTAGAGCAGCAACACAAGCACCTAAGCTAGGCAGGCACAAGGCTACACTAGCAGGAAGCAAGCAGGCTAAACTACGGACACGCGAGCACACAGATCCCTCAGCACTAAAGTCAGCATCAACATACAAAGCATGCTGACGCGCATCGTCCATGGACAAATCAAAGACATCAATCTTACGGGTTAACAAAACGAGACCAGCGAGGCGTGACCGCCAGGGGGGCCCAACGAGCCCGGTAGAGGTCGTCGAGGCGGCGGAAGCACCGCGCGGCAGAGTGGTCGTCGCGACCACAGAGACAGGGGCTGCCCGGCCCGGTGAGGCACCAGTGGGTGCAGGGGCCAGTGTCACGGCGAGGGGGGCGAGGGGCCGAGCTGGAAGAGCTGCTGCTGCGGCCGGTGCTCCCAGGGCCTCCCGGACCCCACCAGTGAGCGACCTCAGTCGGGGGGAGAAGCTCCGATAGCGTGAGGGCGGCGGCCGCGTCACGAGAGAGCCACACGTCCCGAGCCACGACCCGACGGTCGTAGTCCGCCTGGGCCGTAGGAGTCGGCTTCGGGGCGGTCGGCAGGGTGGCGGGGGACGGGGGTGCCGCAAGAGCACCCGACGTGTGGGCCCACAGAGTGGCGCCGTCCTGACGCTGGCTGGTGAGGAAACGTGTGGTCTGGCGCTGCCAGGTACCGAACTCGATCGGGCGTCCCTCAGCATCAAAACGGAGGCGACGGGCCTCCATAGCGGAGCCCATGCTAGAGGCGACTGGAGCACGGCGGAGGCGGAGCTAAGAACGAGGAGGAAAACTACGGAGGGCTAGGGACGCCAGCGGAGAAACCGACGAGAGACAGTCGACGAGAAAAAAGTCGTGGGGCGGGGCTCTAACCGAACCTAGGTGGCGCTACCGGAGGGAAGAGCGGCTGCCAGCCGCTGAGCCGGGAGCCAAGTGCAGTATGAATGGCGTGGGACCGGTGCACAAGTGAAGGGAAGAGAGATGCAGTAAGCGCAACAGAGTGATGCGGTAAGTGTACGCAAGTGTGCGGTAAGCGCATGCAGGTGTGCGGTAAGTGTACGCAGATGTGCGGTAAGCGCACGCAGGTGTGCGGTGAGCGCACGCAGGTGTGCGGGAAGCGCACACATAGTGATGTGGTAAGTGCACGCAGGAGTGCGGTAAGCGCACGCAGGTGTGTGGTAAGTGCACGCAGGTGTGCGGTAAGCGCACGCTGGTGTGCGGGAAGCGTTGACGGAGGAGGGCGCGCGACAGGCGGAGGGGAGGGCACGCGACGGTCTAAGTGTTGGAAACAATCGGTCCTAAGCGCCTCTGTCGTGTCGAAACACTAAGGCACAAGCAAAGCAAAGCATATCGAAGAACCAGCGAGTCAACCCTCGGAGGTTGAAGTAACCGCTGGAGGTTACGCGAAAGTCAAAGGTCAGTGACCTTTGACCTGACAAGTACAGCGCGACAGCAAGGACACACAACTGACTCGTTACAGAGCAGTTGCCCGAGTCGTCACTGCATCGAATCGCAACAGCAACAGTAAAGTAGTTATAACTGTGTCTTTTCATATTCCTTGTATTCATATATAATCTTGTATCTCCTTGTTTTAATCAACTTACTTTGCTCTCACATACTAGCGCTAGGTGGTTCACAACACTTTATTAACGCTTCCGCTATTACACCAACTCTACCCAGAGTTCACCCCTGCAAAGATCCTAAGGGCCTTTTTCAGCCCTACACTAAGGAGGGCGCGCGACGGTTGAGGAGGGCGCGCGGCGGTCTAAAGAGGGTGCACGATGGTTTTGGAGGGCGCGCGGAGGTCTAAAGAGGGCGCGCGGCAGGCTGGACAGCGCGGGAGGGCGCGGGCTAGGCGCGAGGAGGGCGCGGAGGGCGCGAGAGCACGGAGGGCGCGTAGGCGCAGAGGCTAGCTAAAAACGAACGAGGATCTAACCTACTCGTGATACCATCTCAGAATAGGAATGCAACGGAATGCAGAAACTAGAAAGTGTGAGAGTACAAATATGCAACCCTAACAACTGTACTCCCTATTGTGCTACTCACTGTAGCCTACAAGCATAGAATTACATTTGACAGCACCTACCTACCCACACACCCACACAGGGGCTTATTAGAGCCGTGAAGTGGTGCTCATGTTAGCGGGTCAAGGCATCCTCCTGGCGGCTAACACCCATCGTATTATCTCATAATCTCTCTCACACCGTTTGCTGCCACCCTTCCATATTCACCATTGACTCTCCTCTTCGCCTCACACCCTGCACACCTTCTCCCTAGTTACACCCATCCCCAGCCCCCAACCCCCCCACGTTCACAACCCCCAACTCCCTCCCCCATCCCCTCTGCTCTGCCCCACTGTCTCCATCCACCCCTCCTGGCCTGCATGCATGCCACAGCAGGTGGCAGTGCAAGAAACCTCCTCTGGTCACCTGTCTGCCCCCCCTCGGCCTCGCTGCGCCTGGCTGCGGAGCAGGTCCAGCAGCGCCCTGGCCTTGCCCTTGGAGCGCTGGGACCCCGTCTGCGCCACCTGCTGCAGCGCCGGCACCATGCTCTCCGCCAGCATCGCATGGCAGCTCGCCGGCTCACTGTTCGCCAGCATCAGCAGCGTCATCACCGCGTCCTCCTTGGCGCGCTGTGACCCCTGCGCCACCACGCGCACGAGCGTGGGGATGGCACCAGGCAGGTCCAGCACATCATCGCAGCCCTCGGGCATGCGGCACAGGTTCGCCAGCACTGCCATGGCCTTCTCCTCCAGCCCGCCCTCCTCACTCCCCAGCATGCCCACCAGCACCGGCACCGCCCCTGCCGCCACGATCTCAGCGCGGCTGCGCTGGTCGCGCGAGAGGTTGAAGAGCACGAGAGCCGCGTCCTTGCGCCCGCGCGTGCTGCCCGACCGCAGCACGTCCACCAGCGGCAGCACCGCCCCTGCCCGCCGCACCAGGCACTGGTTGCCATCGTCCACCGAGAGGGCAAAGAGCGCCGCTGCAGCGTTCTCCCGTGCCACCTGCGACCCTGACTGCAACACACCCGCCACGGCATCGATGCCGCCCACTGACGCGATGATGGCGGGTGCACCGGGCACGAGGGAGAGGTTCAGAATGGCGGTAACCGCATGCTCCTTGATGGCGGGGTGCGCATGGCGCAGCACACGCACGAGCGCGGGCACACCCCCCGCGGCGATGAGGCGTGACTTGTTGTCGCGGCTGCCCTTGACGAGCGCCCTGATGGCCGCCACTGCCTCCATGCGATCCGTCTCCCCCCCGTGCGCCACCGCCCGCACCAACGTCACCATGTCCGGGGGCGATGCCGCTGCTGCTGCTGCCAGGGGGGAGAGAGGATGGGCCGAGGAGCCGTCGACGTCCCTGTGGGAATCAGCTGCAGCTGCGGCATGGTGGTTGGAGGACAGTGATGACGTGCGCTCCAGGGACAGCCGACCCGAGTCCCCACCCTCTCTTCCCCCTCCCGGCCCCCCTCCTCCCCCATGTCTCACCCCTGGCCCTGCTCCTGCTCCTCCTCTTCCCCCAGTTCCCCTTCCCCCGTCTCCTCTCCCCCCTCCTCCCCTTCCCCCGTCGCCCATTCCTCTGCCCGGCCCTCTCCCCCCTGCCCCCCGCCCAACGCCCTCCCCATGCAGGGGGAACACGGCATGCACCTTGGCCCATCCCTGCCCCCGCCCACCCCCTCCTCCCCCCTCTGCACCCCCCTCCCCGCCTCGCCCCCCTCCTCTGCCTGCCCCTCCCCCCAACCCCCGTCCACCTGCTCCCCTTCCCCCATCCCTCATCCCCTCATGCCCACTGCTGCCCTGACTCCCAGTCCTCCCCTCGCCCAGCTCCCTCCCCCCCACCGCCATCCCCCTTCCCTGCGGCCCCTTCCCGCCCCTCCCACCCCCTCCACTGCGCCCCCCGTCCCCCCTCCCCTCAGCCTCCTCCCCCCGCTCCCCCTGCGCCCACTGCATGGCGGCCACCGCGTCCTGCCCCCCATGCTCTGACGACGACCGCCGAAACGCCTCCTCCGCCTTCCCCCCGTCGCCCCCCCCGCCCTCCCCCAGCCCCACAGCGCGCCTGGCCTCCCCCCACAGGCTGCGGCGCTCAGGTGCGGGCACAGTGGCGCTCTTGCCGTACGCCTTTTGAGACGTCTCAGCACTGGCGCTCTTGCCGTATGCCGCGCCCTGGGGGGGCGTGGACGGGCGCACCCCCGCGCCCCACGCGGGCAGGGGGGGTTGGGCGGAACGGGGACTCAGCGGGATGGACTGGGCGGAGTGGGGGGCGGGGGCAGCGGGTTTGGGGCTCTTGAGGGGGCTGCGGAGGGCCTCTCGCAGCCAGGCAAAGGTGCCGCCCACCCTGCCCACCCGTGGCTGTGGTGCCTCCTCCTCATGCCCATGCCCATGTCCATGCCCCTGCTGCTGCTGCTGCTGCTGCTGCGCATGCTGCTGCAGTTGATGCGGCTGCATGTGCCCACTGCCACCATTCCCCTGCATGGCCTCGTACCCCCCATGCCCATGCACCCGCCGGTCCCCCATGCCCCCCATGCCCCCCATGTCCCCCACATCCCCCTCACTGCCATCCGACCCATCGAGCTCATCCAGCAGAGCGGACGCATCAGGAGGCAGGGAGTAGTCGGAGCGGCGGGACGACAGCCCGCCACCACTGCCACCGCTGAGGCGGCGGGACACGGCACGGCCCTCGCCTGAGCTGCCCATGGCACCCCCCCCTCCCAGGGCGATGCTGCTGCTGCTGCTGCTGCGGCTCTGCACTGCCAGCGACGCCACTCTGCGGTGCGACGCTGACAGCTCCGCCCCTGCTGCTTCCCCTCGCCGCACCCCTCCGCCCACGCGCCCCCCCTCTGCCTTCATCTCTCGCACCACCTCGTGGAACCCCTCTGAACCGTCCATCCCCTCCATGCCCTCCATTCCCTGCTGCCGCCCGCTGCCGCCCACCACAGCCAATGAGGACGCGCGCCGCAGCCCCTGTGCGCCGCCCGGCGGGTTCATGCCTGAGGGCGGTCCAGTGGGGTCGAGCGCGGTGGTGTGCAGCGCCCTGTGTGCTGCCCGGCCCAGCCCCCGATTGTCCGTCTGTGACGACCCCCGCTGCAGCTGCCGCCTCCCCTGCGCCGCCCCTCCCAGGTTGCGCCCTGAACTCGTGCCTGCCCCTGCTCCTCCCCCTGCCTCTCTGTTACCTAGCCGCGACCCTCCCGCCGCTGCCCCTGCTGCCCTCCTGTGGAGCATGGACGACCCGTCGCTCTCCCAGTCGCTTCCCCCGCGCCCCTCCCCCTCTGACTGCGCCAAGCTCGACGCCCCCCTCTGCTGGCCCCTCCCCCTTGCCGCGCCCCCCTCCTCCCCCCCGCTCATCCCGCCCTCGCCCCACAACTGCTGCTCGCGGCGCACGCTGGAGAGGGCGGAGAGGAACGGGTCGTCTGTGTCACTGGCGCCCATGCCCTCATGCCCCTGCCCCTGTCCCTGCCCCTGCGCGTGCCTGTGCCCCCCCCCGCCCGCATGCCCCACAGATTGCACGCTCTGAATGGACCCTGAGCGCAGCAGGGCGCCCTCCTCCGCCACTCGCCGCCCCAGGCTGCGCTGCAGCATTGGCGGACTCCTTCCCCCCGCGCCCCCGCCCCCCATGCCCGCTCCCTGCTCGCGCCCCTCGCTGCCGCTGCCCGCATCTCCGCTGCTCTCCACGCTGCTGTCCCGCCGCCACCGCGGCGGGCCCCCCGGGCCCCCCAAGCCCCTCGCGCCCGCGCCCACGGGGCTGCGCGGACCCGTGGAGGCGCGCGGGGAGAGGGGTGTGGAGGAGAGGCGGGGGGAGGGCGGGCCGGATGCGTGTATGGGGGAGAGGGGCCCGGACGAGTGGATGGGGGAGAGTGGCGCGACGGCGGGGGGCGCGGAGGTGGGGGGGGCGGAGGCGGGGAGATGCGAGGCGAGCGCCCACGTGTCCATGGAGAGGTCGCGGCGCAGGGCGAGTGGCGGAGGGGGGTGGCGCGCAGAGGAGGGGGGAGCAGTGTGGCCGTTGGCGGGGCTGTCCCCCAAAGGCGGACCACTGTGGTGCATGGCGGCCTCCCGGCTACCCACGCGCGGAATGGGCGCCTCCCTGGCACCCGCGGGCGCTGCTCGTCCTGGACTGCGCGGAACCCCAGGCGCGCCCCATCCCAACTCCCCTGATGCTGCGCCGCTGTTGCTGCTGTCGCGGATGGGCGGAAGTGACGACGAGGAGCGCCCAGCAGGGCTGCGCGGCAGCGCCGCAGCGCGCAGGGCGGCGTCAATGGCGGCGGCCCTGGCGCCCATGGCGCCGTCGCGCGACACGCGCATGGACGACGACCCCACGGGGCTGCGCAGGCTGCCAGACGCCGTCAGCCTCGGCCCCCCCCCCTCCCGCGGCCCCCCCTCCCGCGCCCCCACCTCCAGCGCCCGCCGTGGCAGCAGCGCCTCTGCTGACGTCGATGGTGAGCTCTCGCCCCATGCGGAACGACGCCGACCGCATGCCCGCCGCGCCCATGTTGCGCAGCGCGTTCGCCCGCCCGCTCGCCACCGCACCCCCTGCACCGCCTCCCCCGCCCCCCCCCCCCCTGCCCCCGTGACTCCCCCGCCACCCGCCATGGGCGCGTCGGCGGGGCTGCCGGCGCTGGAGCTGCGGATGGCGCCGAGCAGCGCCGCCTTGAGCTCGCTGTCGCTGCCGTCGCTGCTCGCGCGGTCGCGGAACGACTGGCTCGCGCGGCCCGCCGCCAGCAGCCGCGCGCCGGGCGGAATGCCGCCCCCCGGCCGGCCAGGCGCGCCCCTCCGCGCCTCCCTCTCCGACGACGACTCCCCGCCACTCTCCCCCGCGAACCGCGACTGCGCCACCTCCCCACGCGCCCCCGCGCCGGCTGATCTGCGCGGCACGAGGTCCTCGACGGCGCCGCGGAAGGAGTCGCGCGTGGCGTCGAGGCCCAGACTGCCCAGACTCGCCGACAGCAGCCCCTGCGACTGCAGCGACGACGTGCGCCGCAACCCGCTCTCCGCGTTCCCCCCGTCGCCGCTACCCCCCTGAGCGGGTCGTTTTCCCGAGGGAATGCCGTTGCGGCCGTTGAGCAGCCGGAGCGACCCGTCCGCGTGCGCACCTGCGTGGCCCTGCTGCTTCGCGCGCATCATGCCGCGCTCTAAGCTGTCCGACCGCCCTACACCATCCGCCATCGCCCCTCTCCCTCCCCGCCCTCCCCTGCCCGCTCCTGTCCCCCCTCTCCCCGCGCCGGCCCCCCGCGCAGCCCCCCTACCCCCGAGGCTGGCGACGCGGGGCACGGGGAGCGGCTCGTTGGCGCGCCAGAGCGCGTCGGACTGGCCCGACTCGTAGCCGTCCGATTCGTCGTCCTCTAACGCGTTAAGGAGCGATTCGATATCGTCCGCCTTGGGTTGCAGCGAGTGCGAGCGCGCAAGACCCGAGGAGCTGCTATCCCCCCCGCCGTCCTGCCCCAGCACCCGCAGCACCTGCGACTGGCTCCCCCTATGTCTCGGCCCCGCCGCCTGCCGCCGCTGCGGAGGCCCTGCGCCGTTGGGGGGCGCGCCTGCTGGTCTCCGCGCGCCTGCTCCCCCCAACTCGTCCCCAGACAGGGGACTGGAGCCTATTCGCTCCGCGGAGGAAATGCGCGCTCGGGGACTGTCGGCGGAGGAAACTCGCGGCACCCCACCACCTAACACCACTCGCAACACCGCCCCTCCCCCTGAGGCTGTGCGCGGCACCATTGCGCCAGCGGGGGATCCCCGCACCGCCTGTGTGCCATTTCCCGACGCGATGCGCTGCACGGATCCCCCGCTCGACACCGATCTTGAAACGGAAAGGGACGCGGAAGGGTGGTTGCGCGGAACACTTTCCCCGCCAGCAGGGGAGAACGGTCGGTCGTCCGCCCCCGATGGGGGAGTCCGCGGGCGCTGAAAGGCGCCGGGAAGCGTGGAAAAAGGGGCTGCAGAGCGCGGGCTTTTGGGCGGAGTGCCGGGGGGAGTGAAGGGGCGCTGAGAGAGATTGGAGGAGGGCCCTGGGGGCGGGAGACCGGCACACGCGGATTGTGCGCCCGGGGAGCTGTGGTTGCTATCGCGCCCGCTACGCGGAGAAAGCAGCTCCGCCTCTTGCGCGCGGAATTGGCGGAGTTGCTGTTGTTGTTGCAACCGAGACTGCTGCTGCTGCTGCTGTTGCTGTTGCTGCTGTTGCTGCTGTTGTTGTTGCTGTTGGTGCTGCTGCTGTTGCTGCTGCGGCGGCTGCTGATATACGCCGTTCGCAAGCGGCTGCCTCCCAGAGCTGCCATTGCCCGAGCCTGCTAAGGACTGACCGCCGTGGCGCGACTGGGACGAGCGCTCCCTAAAGCTACCCGTCCCCTGCTGCCCCTGCGGGTCCACACGCACGCACAGTACGCCCGGCGCGTACGGCACGGCGTTCGCGTCGCACCACTGCGCGATAAGCTGCCGAACCGCCTGGTTCGGAAACAACCGGTAGTGGTCTAGTCGCGATCCGGTGACGGGGCATATGCGGTTGCCGTCGCGGTACCATTTCTGGATGACGGCGCGTTCGAAGGTGAGGCCCGACGCCGTGATGACCGGGTCGGTGAGCAGCTGCAGCGACAGCGGACACACGAACTCCGCCGGCACCGCCGGCTGCTTGCCGTACCGCGTCGGGTGCCTCAAGCGGTACTGCGTGTTGGGCATCGCTGGCGGCGTTACCTGGCTCCGCGCAGAGGGCAACGACTCGCTGGAAAGGCGGCATGATCGAGCAGCGACATGCGCGCCGGGATCGCCTGCTGTGCCAAACTTGGAAGTAGTCGTGGTTTAAGAACGTAACGCAGGAAAGCGCAAACTAGTGTCGTGACGAGTCAATAAATACAGGAAGGTAATTAGCGATACAGTCTTGACCTAACGATCGCCTGTCTAGACGCTGTTAGTTAGGAGGGTGAGACGTGTGGAGGGTGGATTAGGTTAGGTCAACTGCCATGGTGTATGCAGGAAGGTCTCGAGGGTGCATGTGAGGTGCAGCTTGTACGGCGGGCGGCGAATGCTGCTCCAATAGGGCCGACGGGTAACGTTGCGATACGAAAAACTGAAGAAGTGGGAGAGAGCAGCGTTGCGCGGTAACGAGGCACGCGCACACGACAATCCAGCAGCAGCGAACGATGACGAGCCTCGCGGAACCTTGAAGTTTGTGGAACATGGGGTCATTGTTACGCCATACTGCTTAACTTGTGTTATGAGTGCAGTTACATACAAGAGTGAGAGAAAGGGACCATTCATACAATACCTCTTTAGCTGTAGAAATTAAATACTGCCGCTGAGATCTGAGGGCCTTCCCAAAAGATTGGGATTTGTTCGTAACAAGTAATGCTGAGGGTGGGTGGATGATGAATGAGTGCATAAATGCCTCCTGTTACAACTGTACAGGCAGTTTCATGCTGTCTTGATCCTTAGTACTGTATGACAAGGCTGAGCGTAAAAAATCATGTACATACATCCATTTGTACGAGTAAACAACGAACTAGCACCTCCCTAGTTCTGAAGTTCTACGAATATGCCCGCAGTGTAAGCAGGCGGGACACTCTACTACTTCTTGGATTGTCCTAAGTTCCTAATAATGTTTAACAGCTCATGAGAATCAGAGCTTGCCTGACTATTCGCTGCAAGCTTGGCCAGTGGAGGCAGGCACCCCTCGACCATTATTCTCCGAGCCATGGCATCCCCGCCATGCCGTGCCATGGCCAGCAGAGTGCACGCTGCCTTGTCAGCAGCATGCTGCGAGCTGCCTTCCATCACATCCACCAGCGCACACACCGCATCCTCATCGTCCGCAATGGCTGCCACACCCACCTCGCAGCGAGCCAGCACGGCCAGCAGCGATGCTGCCTTCTCCTCCACGCCCTCGCCGTGCCTCTCCAGCAGCCCCACCACCAGCGCCACCACTCCCAGCGCCACTGCCTGCTCCGCCGCCTGCCGCAAGCCCACCAGCCCGTACAGAGCCAGGCAAGCGTCCTTGAGCGCGCGGGGCGTGTGTGCCGTCTGCACGAGGTGCACGAGGTGCGGCACAGCACCGGCAGAGCACACAAGGCGCTTGCGCTCCTCCTTGGTGGACGACACAGTGAACAGCGCCGCAGCTGCGTTCGCCTTGGTGGCTTCAGCCGCCTCTCCCTGCGTGCCCGCTTCTCCTGCTGGTCGCAGCACGTCTACGAGAACGGGAATACCTCCACGCGCCACCACCTCCCTCGCCCCCTCGCGTGCCAGTGACACGTACAGCAGGGCAGCACATGCCCGCTGTGCCGTGCCCTCATCCTCGCACTGCACCGCAGCCAGCAGCGGCGCCACGCCACCCGCCTGCACCACCCGCGTGCGGTTCTCCTCCGCCTGCTTCACTGCCACGTGGATGGCCTCCGCGGCGACCCGCCTCACTGCCACGTCAGCATCCTGCAGTGCATCCACGAATGGCCGCATCTCTCGCACTGGCGTGTCCTTGCTGCGGCGGCGACTGCCACGTGGCGAGTTGGGATTCGACTGCTGCAGGCGGGAGAACGATGCGTTGGAGGAGAGGTACGAGCTCAGCGCCACGTCATTTGCGTCGTCCTGTGACGTGGCGGCGAGCTGGTGGTTGTGGCGGTGGCGGAGGGCGCGGAGGGGCGAGGAGGGGCTGCTAGCGGCGCTGCTGGCGGCGGCCCAGTCGAGCGACGCGGTCTCGGAGAGCGGCGAGATGGTGCGACACAGCGACCTGCCGCTGCTGCCCGCGCCCATCACGTGCCGTGGAATCGCCAAGCTCGCCGCGTCTGACGCCGGCTGTTCGTCCCCGTGCCCCCTGCACGCGGAGGCGCTGCGGCTTGGTTGGAAGGAATAACGGCGCTGCAGCGGAGATAGGGGCGCGCGCAGCGGCGAGGAGGGCGCGCAGCCAGGGGGAGAGGCGAGCCCGTTGATGGCGGCTGGCGCTGAGCGCGCGGGGAGGACGGCGGGAGAGGGGCCGAGGGGCGACGCGGAGATAAGCGGAGGAGGGGGAGAAGGAGGGGAAGGGACGCGCGTGGCGTGAGAGAGGCACCAGGCGGCGATGAGCTGGTGGAGCGCGTCGTTGGGAATGAGCGCGCAGTCCGCGAGCAACGCGCCCGTCTTGGGGCAGAAGCGGCCGCCGCGTGTGCGGAAGTGGTCAAGGCTTGCGCGGTCGTACGACTGGACTCACGTGCCGACTGGGGTGGACATGGCGGCTGGATGGTGACCTCGTGGATGGAGAGAGGAGAGGAGCAGGTGGAAGCATGGAGGGGAGTTGCGTGGAGGTTACTTTTGCGAACTCTGCGACGTGAACGTAACCGGCTATACGAGTGTCGTTCACGTTTCCCAGCACCAGTTGAATCTCCGGCGAACAACTGAGAAACCATGTCGCTCCATCACAACAACTCGCCCAAACCTTCAGTTACCATAGCCACGAGCCTCGTAGGGACAACCTTGTCGCGAGACAACCAAGTTCGCACCGACACCTGGTGCGACGTTTCATTCGGTACACATCAGATTTTCTTGAGATTCTCCACGAGAAAAGTGCATTGATTCGAGAAGATACGATTGGATGCCTGTTTGAGCCCCTCCTGGTTGCCTTGTGAAGGGGGTGTATAAATTGTATCGTGCATTTCGCATAAGTTTCGTCAATTCGCAGCTAGCTAAAAAGGACTCGCAGGTGCTTATATTAAGTATCTGTAACCTTATCCGCTGACATTTTGACTTCAGTCTCTTCAGTTTGACTTAGGTCTGTTCGTTACTATTGGTCCATAACCACGCGACGCGCTTGTATCGTGGGTGCAACAGGCTGGGGAAAAGACCTCGGGTGCAGCGTTTCCATCCGGTGCAGGGCAAATTCGCGTGCACTGGTTGGGCATCATGTGTACACGAATTGCTGATATGCTCACCCAGTGGCATCCAAGCTCTCTGGCATGGTACAGACGGATTCACTTGCAAAGCTCCCAAGTACAACACTGATACGAGCTTTGTAGCACCTGTTAATAAAAGCACGAGGACATTGGTTCAAGCATGTCACTTCAATTATCTCCATCACCAGACCAAGCCTAGGGAGAACAATCCCCAGAGATTGTTACACCATCTTTCACGATTATGTCCCTGGGGCGGCCCCAAGCACACTGCCCCCAGGAGGAGCTCCCCCCATGGGTGGTCGCGGCGGAGGAGGAACGGCCACGTTGGGCCCTGGCCCACCCCCACCTGCCCCCCCTGCACCAGGCGCCGGGGGAGGGAGGGGCTGCCCCGGCCGCCACCCCCCTTGGTGGGGCTGAGGGGGAGGAGGCGGCATGGCGTAACCCTGGCCAGGTGGGGGATAGGAGGGGGGAGGGCCGCCAGGAGTGGGGTAGCGCGGAGGGGGAGGGTAGCCTCCCCCTGGTGCTCCGCCTTGAGGGGGAGGGGGCGGATATCCTCCCCCTGGTGCTCCGCCGTGGTGGGGAGGGGGGGGATATCCCCTTCCTGGTGCTCCCCCATGGGGGGGCGGGGGACCATAGCCCCCCCCTGGTGCCCCGCCATGGGGAGGAGGGGGCATGCGAGGCGGGGGAGCATAGTGCTGTGGAGGGGGCGGGGGCTGGTTCTGCTGCCAATGCTGTGGGGGAGGAGGTGGCATCTGGTGGGGGGGATACTGTTGAGATGGAGGTGGAGGGCGCATCTGGGGAGGGGGGTAGTAAGGGGGAGCAGGGGACGCGCCCGCACCGCCATAGGATGGGGGAGGAGGGGGGCGGTAAGGGGAAGGTGCAGGCGGGGGCGCAGGGGGAGCAGGAGAGGTGTAAGGGCGAGGAGGGGGAGGGGCGGCAGCAGGGGGGATGGAAGGTGGAGGTGGGCGAGAGGGGGGGGGAGGAGGGGGGGCGGAGGGGGGAGCTGCAGCGAACATGGTGTGGGGGCGATGGCGCGTGGTGGACGGGTTGTTGGCTGCCAGCAGTCGCTCTGAAGAAGGGAGAGAGGGCGGGGACAAGGGGAGCAGAAGGAGACGGATAAGAAAGAAAGTTAAGAGAAAGGTATCGACAGTGCGAAAGAAGAAAGAAGCCGGCCTTCCATCAAATGAGACAACACAGTACCACCACACACTTGAAGTACTTCTGAAATGCATTGTACCCACAAAAAGAGCAACCAGCTGGCAAAATGAAAGCCAATCAGCATCCACAGGGAAAGAAATGAGCAGGCACATGGAGAGCAGTGACCTGCAGGGGTGCCGTGTCGCTCCCCCTTGGTGTCCTTCTTGAAGGCATACGACACCGAGATGGCCCGATTGCACAGGTACTGCCCGTTCATTGCCTGCACGCATGGCAGCAACCGGGGCAAGCCGAACCTTGGACTCATACACTCGTACCATCCTAGATTCTAACAGACAAACCTATGGAAAGCAAGGAGCAACACGTTGATGGCAGCATGTGCGAGGTACCTCAATGGCAGCATCAGACGCCTCGAATGAATCGTAGCTTATGAATCCGAAGCCCTTGGAGTTGCCACTCTCCGTATCCCTCATGATCTGCTCTCCCACCATGCCATGCCATACCACGCGACAGTAGACAGTAAGGAAAGCGACTACAAAGCAGCGGGAGAAGGCATGAAGTCAAACGGGATAGAGCAAACACACATCAAGTGTCAACGCAGCATGAGGTCAAGCAAATGCCTAGATATTGGGAGGATGGAAGGCACACCTTGGGGTTGGGGGACACACCTTGGGGTTGGGGGACACACCTTGGGGTTGGGGGACACACCTTGGGGTTGGGGGACACACCTTGGGGTTGGTGACGATGACACCGAAGGCACTGAAGGTGTCGTATAGCACCTTCTCATCCACGTCCTGTTCATGCGCGCGCATGCATGGATAGAGGGATAGATTAATGGAAGGAGGGAGGGAGAAGAGGATGAGGAGGTGTACCGAGCAGAGTAAGACAAGAGTAAGACCGCGGGAAGCAGTGAAGATGGAAGGTAGGGAGGGCGCTGTGAGCTTGTAAGGGGAATCGGAGACACAAGCAGGAGTGGATGTGTTGTATGGGGAACCTCGAAGAAGGTAGTTACGAGGTTGACGGGGTAAGTGGGAGAGTGACGGGCCGATGGGAGTCTCACGGGGTCACCCCCAGTCTCACAGGATCAAAGCGAGTCTGACAGGGTCGATACGAGTCACATGGGATGAATGTGAGTCTCACGGGGTCAATGTGAGTCTCACGGGGTCAATGCGAGTCTCACAGGGTCCAGGTTGCCAATGAAGAGGTTGGCACCGACGTCCACAGTGCGGCGGTCCTGGCTGGCCTTGTTGACGCGCATGGGGCGGCCAAACACCTTCACCATGTTCAGCACCTTCACTGCCTGCACACGGTGTGACGGTCATGGGCGTCACAGCAGCAGATAGGTGAGACAGTACAAGAAACGGCAGCAGCAGATACTGTGCGAGTGGTGAGTGCGAGACAGCGGTATGTGGGTGTGGGTGTGAGTGGTGAGTGTTCCTGTGTAAGTGAGTGTGAGCGGTGAGTGTGAGTGGAGAGTGTGAGTGTGAGTGTGACTGAGTGGTGACTGTTAGTGGTAAGTGTGAGTGGAGAATGTAAGTGTGAGTGATGACAATGAGGGCGACTGTGTGAGTCGTGACTGTGAAGGTGAGTGTGTGTGAGAGGTGAGTGTGAGTGAGCCGACAAGTCACCACCTTCCCACTCACAAGTACGCATAAAACCACTAACAAGCCAACACCCCACAACTCATTACACAAAAATCCCCCAAATCACCACACCACACGCATCTCCCCCCCACTCATGAAAGCACCCCCCCCCCCCCCCCCCACGCACATAGTCGGCGTCCTCTTCTGAGCGGAACTCCACAAAGCCGTACCCCTGGTGCTGCCCCGTCACTCGGTCCTTGGGCACATACACGTTCACTGGGGCGCGGGGGAGGAGGGCGGACGGGGGGGACGGGGGAAACGAGGGGGACGGGGGGGCAAGACGAGTTAAAGAGCGGGGGAGATGCGGTGCGTGCAAGCATGAGGCACCTGGGAGAGGGGTGAGGAAAGAGGAGAGCGGGAGAGGGGATGGCGATGGGAGTGGGAGGACTGCAGCTCCAGTCCCGCACCTGGGACTGCAGCTCCAGTCCCGCACCTGGGACTGCAGCTCCAGTCCCGCACCTGGGACTGCAGCTCCAGTCCCGCACCTGGGACTGCAGCTCCAGTCCCGCACCTGGGACTGCAGCTCCAGTCCCGCACCTGGGACTGCAGCTCCAGTCCCGCACCTGGGACTGCAGCTCCAGTCCCGCACCTGGGACTGCAGCTCCAGTCCCGCACCTGGGACTGCAGCTCCAGTCCCGCACCTGGGACTGCAGCTCCAGTCCCGCACCTGGGACTGCAGCTCCAGTCCCGCACCTGGGACTGCAGCTCCAGTCCCGCACCTGGGACTGCAGCTCCAGTCCCGCACCTGGGACTGCAGCTCCAGTCCCGCACCTGGGACTGCAGCTCCAGTCCCGCACCTGGGACTGCAGCTCCAGTCCCGCACCTGGGACTGCAGCTCCAGTCCCGCACCTGGGACTGCAGCTCCAGTCCCGCACCTGGGACTGCAGCTCCAGTCCCGCACCTGGGACTGCAGCTCCAGTCCCGCACCTGGGACTGCAGCTCCAGTCCCGCACCTGGGACTGCAGCTCCAGTCCCGCACCTGGGACTGCAGCTCCAGTCCCGCACCTGGGACTGCAGCTCCAGTCCCGCACCTGGGACTGCAGCTCCAGTCCCGCACCTGGGACTGCAGCTCCAGTCCCGCACCTGGGACTGCAGCTCCAGTCCCGCACCTGGGACTGCAGCTCCAGTCCCGCACCTGGGACTGCAGCTCCAGTCCCGCACCTGGGACTGCAGCTCCAGTCCCGCACCTGGGACTGCAGCTCCAGTCCCGCACCTGGGACTGCAGCTCCAGTCCCGCACCTGGGACTGCAGCTCCAGTCCCGCACCTGGGACTGCAGCTCCAGTCCCGCACCTGGGACTGCAGCTCCAGTCCCGCACCTGGGACTGCAGCTCCAGTCCCGCACCTGGGACTGCAGCTCCAGTCCCGCACCTGGGACTGCAGCTCCAGTCCCGCACCTGGGACTGCAGCTCCAGTCCCGCACCTGGGACTGCAGCTCCAGTCCCGCACCTGGGACTGCAGCTCCAGTCCCGCACCTGGGACTGCAGCTCCAGTCCCGCACCTGGGACTGCAGCTCCAGTCCCGCACCTGGGACTGCAGCTCCAGTCCCGCACCTGGGACTGCAGCTCCAGTCCCGCACCTGGGACTGCAGCTCCAGTCCCGCACCTGGGACTGCAGCTCCAGTCCCGCACCTGGGACTGCAGCTCCAGTCCCGCACCTGGGACTGCAGCTCCAGTCCCGCACCTGGGACTGCAGCTCCAGTCCCGCACCTGGGACTGCAGCTCCAGTCCCGCACCTGGGACTGCAGCTCCAGTCCCGCGCCTGGGACTGCAGCTCCAGTCCCGCGCCCGGGACTGCAGCTCCAGTCCCGCGCCCGGGACTGCAGCTCCAGTCCCGCGCCCGGGACTGCAGCTCCAGTCCCGCGCCCGGGACTGCAGCTCCAGTCCCGCACCCGGGACTGCAGCTCCAAGAAAAAAGTTGCGGGGATACACAGAGAAAAGTGAGGAGCAGAGGTCGGCATGAAAAGAAACGGGATCAGGAAGAGGAGGAGCGGCATAATGCGTGCTACATTGGGATGGAATAATACCATCCCATTCTTGACCATCCCATTCTCAACCCCTTTCCATTCTTGACCTTTCCATGCGCCTCCCAACGGCCCCCAGCCCGTCCACAACTCCCCCTGCAACCCCCCTTCCAGCCCCGTGGCTCACCGACGGGCCCCGCCTGCACGAAGAGCTCCCAGATAAGCTCCTCCGACATCTGCGCTCGTGGGGCGTGGCGCGCGGGGGAGCGATAGGGGGACAGGGGCCCAGAGGGGAAAAGGGGGAGGTATGGGTGGAAAGGGGCACAGGGGAAAAAAAGCATCACGGGGGGAAAGGGGCACACACAGGTGAGAAAGAGGGAAGGCACGGGGAGGTCCAAAGGGCACAGGGGTGAATGAGGGGGGAAAAGGGCACAGGGGTGAATGAGGGGGGAAAAGGGCACAGGAGGAAGAGGCGGAGCATGGGGGATCAGGGACACACAGGGAAACGGGGGTCGCATTGAGCACAGGGGGAAAAGGGGTGGGGCATGGGGGAAATGGTGAGCGTGAGGGGGGACAACGGACACAGCGGAGAACGTGGGGGAGCGTGGAGGGGACAAGGGCACAGGGGGAAATGAACAAGGGGGACAGGAGAGGGGGAGGGTAGGTAAAGGGGTAGGTAAAGGGGTAGGTAAAGGGGTAGGTAAAGAATGAACAGAGTGGGGGCTGCAGGGAGGTTTTGCCGTAAGCAAACGCGGGATGGCTGAGGCCAATGCATGACATAGCGGCGACGAGGACCCACAACCACGCGGATGCAACCGAGTGTTATTAGCGCACGGACAGAACTAAGCGCGCTGCGAGGCACAGGAGCGCAACGCACCTGCGGGTCGAGGTTGCCGACATAGGCCGTGGCATCTTGGTTGCGCTCCTGCGCGTGCTGCCCGATCAGGTTCGCGCCCACCCCCGGCGTGATCCGCGTCGTCATCGCGTGCTGCTGCCGTTTACCTATACGCCCACAAAATCACTCGATCTACTCCCAGAAAAACAACCCCCAGGTTACGAATTGGTCGTTCAGTCGTTGGAGTCCAGGCTAGTCGTTTCCCGCAAACATTGGCCTACCGCCTCGCGTTGAGCTTCCGATCAGTGTCGAAGCAGGCGGATCGAGGCCAAGGTATCGTGAGGGGCACGAGAAAAAAAAGCGGGAGGAAATGAGAGAGATGCCTTCAAGTGGAGTGGAGGGGATGAGGGAACACAGACAAGTGTACTGAGAAATTGGAACAAAACAAAACGTCCATCAACAGGTCCAGCTGAAGCAAAACGCCGCTCCCAGGTGGGCTTGAACCACCGACCTTACGGTTAACAGCCATACGCTCTAACCAACTGAGCTACGAGAGCTGATTCCATATTGTAGCTACAACATCTCATTTTATTTACAAAAGAAACTTCGTTTGCGGCGATGGAAAGCTGTTCCACATTTTCACCATGGCTACCGCAATGCTCACCTCAGCGGCTGTTGCGCTCCCCCTGCGCTCAACGGCTACCATCCCCGCGGCCCTTTCCTCCGCGCGCACCCGCGTAACCCCCGCGCTCCATGCGCGAATCACTGCTTCGCGCGCTCTTCCCCGCGTTCAACGCACGCTTGTTCGCGCGAAGGCGAGCGATGAGGGGAGCAGCACGGCGGAGATCGTGGGGGCTGTGAGCGGGCTGATTTCCGTTCCCGTGGTTGCGTGGTCGCTCTTCACCCTCAAGACCACCGGTGAGCGCCACCGTTCCCGCCACTTCCGCCGCCGCTACTCTGACATTGCCCCCATTACCGCCATCCCGTTGACATGCGCGATAACGATACCCAACTTCGCCTCCCATGCGACTCCAACGGCCTGCTGCCTTCCTTAATTTTCTCCGTGCCCACTCCACACAACTTCGCAAAGTCACTGACCCCGTCCACTCGCGCTTTTAACAAAACCCTTCCTTCTCCCTGCAGGCTGCGGGCTGCCCCCGGGGCCAGGCGGCAGTTTGGGCGCGCTGGAGGGAGTGGCGTACCTGGCGATAGTGGGGCTCGTGGGGTGGTCCGCGTACACCAAGGCCTCCACCGGCAAGGGGCTGCCCAACGGCCCCTACGGGCTGCTGGGGGCGGCGGAGGGGCTGGCGTACCTGACGCTGCTGGCGGCCGTGGTGGTGTTCGGGCTGCAGCTGCTGGACTACGGCTACATTCCGCCGCCCGTGCCCGGGGAACAGTGCTTTGGTTAAGAGCTGCCCGGAGCTGTCGGGGATAAGAAGATGATATAGCGTTGCGACATGCTGCTGCCTTGTCAACTGGTGGCTTGCAGTGCTGGCTCACACTGGTGTTGGATGTCTATTGCCGTCCTTCCGTATGTCTTGAATCTTGATGCCTACATTGCATCTGGTTGGGGTGGTGCTTCATTTTTGGACTCCATGGCAGTGGCTGCTGACATTTGAATGCCTATGAGTTTGACTTGGGGAAACGGAGGAAGTGTAGGGGCAAGAACCTGCCCTGCATGCAACAAAAGCTGCAGGTTATGTCACGTTATGAACAGCAGATCGAATAACCTTTGGAGATGGTGACCTTTGTAGTCACCAGGTTGACCACAAGGGAGACAGGTCACTGGTGCCCTGCCACAATCAGTGCATCCCAGTCACCTACGACAATCCTCATCCCTTTTCCTCTGCCTTCTGTCTTCATCACTCTTGCGCTTTGGCCTCTCTTCCTCATCCTCCTCCCTTCGCCGCTTGTGCTTGTCATCACTGCCCTTGAACCTCAGTAGTTTTTCCTCCAACTGCCGTCCTGCACCTCTCCTCTCTTCTAGATCATCCTTACCCCTCTCTTCCCGCTTCCCATGCCTCTCACCACCTTCCCTGCTTCTGACCTTCCTCCACTCATCCTTACCCCTGCCTTCATCCTCCTCTCCTCTCAGCCTGTCATCTCTCCCCTCATTCGCTTCATTCTTAAACCCCTCTTGCTCGATCACACTCTTCCTTGACGCATGCCCATCCTTCCTCTCACGTTCTCCCTTCCCAGTCTGTCGCGCCTTGTGCCTTCCCTCCTCTCTCCTATGACCTTCTCTCCCCCTGACACCTTCCCCTCCGCCCTTCACCTCCTCAAATTGCCCTCTCCGCCCAGGAACTTCCTCTTGCGCCCATCTCTGGGTTCTATCATCGCCACCCTCCCCATTTCTCTCCCTCCCCTCCTCCTCTCTTCCCCCGTCTGGCCTCCCACCACCGCCTCTCCCACCATTCTCTCGCTCTTCGCGCTGCTCGAAATTCGCCCTGCTGCGGCTCTCTGTTCCCCGTACCGTGTCCTCCTTCCCGCCCCATCCCGTGTCAGCGTTTCTCTGGTGGTGGGGAAGACAGAACGAAGGAACGCCAAACATCGTTTGGGATTGAATCGGGCCCTAGTTTGAGAGCACCAAGTGAGAGACTTTCTGATATTCAGGCGAACTCTACCTGGGCATCATGAGAAAATCGGCAGTTGTCCCCTCGTGTGCACTCCCCTCTTTGGAACGCATAGCAGACTCCGTTCTCCTCCCGGCGCTTCTCCCGCTCCTCCTCATCCTCCTTGGCTATCCTCTTGTAGTCCGCCACATGGTCCACCTTTACTATCCGCCCCGCAACCTTAGCGCCGTTCAGGTTGTCTGCACAGCGGGAGGAGGGAAGAGCGAGAGAAAGGGTGGAAGGAGGCGGTTGGGATGGCGGAGTGAGGGGGGGGCGGATTTGGCAGGAACCGTTCAAGTCCAGTAGAAACTCTCTTAGTGATCATAGCTGAATTGCTGATGTATTTGATCCGAGGTGGTCACGCTAAGGCATCAACAGGATACACCCAGGCCCAACATACGAAGGAACGCACCTACAGCGAGGATGGTGCTGCGCTGGTCCTCGTACGCCAGAAACGCGAAGCCCTTGGACTTGCCGGTGGACTTGTCCCGCACCAGATTCACATCCATTATTTCACCGTACCTAGCCACGTGGGAAGGGACGGTAAGGGAAGAGGAAAGAATGAGAAGGAGAGCGGACTGGGAAAGTGAGAAAAAAGGCAGCTAGTCGAGGAAGCTTGACGTCTATAAAGAATGGAGCAGCGCAACTTTTTACAGTGCACTACAGCGAGTCGTGCACACGGAACCATGACACCTCTTTGCGAACATTGGAAACTATGGGTGAGTCTTACTGGGCAAAGACCGCAAGGAGGTCGCCCTCAGTGAGGTCGTACGGAAGGCCGCCAACGTAAACGTACGCGGACTCCTTGTACTTGGCGTGCCATGACGCTTCGTCCGACACTCCTCTAGCAGTCTCTCGCGCTGTTATTTTCTGAGTGTTCTTGATCTGCGTTAGGGGATTCATGATGGCTAATGGTCAGACGGAAGCAAGACTCCGCCGTAACCGCGTGAACCTTGCTTAGTCTCTAGATGATCAAGAAGTAACAGGGACACTAACGCCGTATACTGCAAATGGTCAGGGTATGTTATCGGGCCTTATCTCAGGCAATAGTTGGGAAAGATAGCGACATGACTCCTTGCTTCAGCGGAAGAACTCTGCTTCTGAAAGGATCGTGGATCACATATAAATGTTGGCCGTCAAGTTTCCTTGGCGGTACGCGAGCTGCGGGAGTTGTTCGTGCAGTTCGACGATCTGTTCGCAAATGTTTTCCCTGAGCTTCCCTGATGATGAATGCCAGCACTTCAGAATGCCACTGAGACGAATGCCTGTTTTGATGTGTCTCAGGACTTTCGTAATACCTGGTTTGGTTACATAAGGGTTCTCAATCTCACAACGTACAGTGCATGGGTAGTGATAGCATATAAGAATACAGTGATTCCAATATTCCTCTAAGGGCGGGTCCAGCGCGTACGTTTTCCGTACATTAAAGTTCATCAAGTGCGGTAATCTGTATTCCGTTACGGTTTAAAAAGGTGCAATTTCAGAACCGCTGTGCACCGCCTGATAAATTTTGAAACCACGACGAATAAACCGTATAGGACCTGCAAACGTACGCGCTGGACCCGCCCTAATACCAGGCAGGCACTGTCACGGCTCTCTAGAGATTAGCAGGACACTTTTGACAGCCAGGTCCTGTTTGTCGGCTGTCTATTCACGCCGTGACACGCGCCGGCAGCTGAGCATGGCCATTCGAAGATTTCCATGAGCTGTTTGGAATTGCCGAGGTTGCTTGTGAGGTTCACAGCAGCTGACGAATCAAGGAGCAATGCAGAGAACCCCGTTCCAGCATTTCCTTGCACGAGTAGCAAGTCCCAAACGGTCTTAGAGACCCAGTGACAGCGATTGCTAGATTCTGCCTGCCGTCACTCAGCAAGCCAAATCGCACTGAAATCAGGACATCGCGAGCAAGCTCTATTGCTCTAGCATCGCTCTATTACCTGGTGCTGTTTCGTGTTTCGTTACCTTCACTTCTCAAACTAATCGCGCCATGGCGTTCCTTAGTCCTTTGTTGCGGAGAATTATATTGAGCTACTTCTACGTGGCGATATGGATCGTTTTAAGCTTCTCCGTCATTATTTTCAATAAGTACATCCTGGACAGGAAGATGTACAACTGGCCGTATCCCATTAGGTGAGCTTCTGGAAGCTGCCTCGTGATCCACGTCGAAATCTAACAGAACGTCCACATCTCCATGTTTTGCGCGTCTACCTTCTGCTCTACTCACCTCCCCGCGTAAGCGCCGTTTTGGACTCCCCTTCTCTTCCCCTTCCTCCCGCTTCTCCCCCTCCCTATCCCGCCTGCCGCGCCCCCATCCAGTCTGACGATGATCCACATGGCGTTCTGCTCGTCGCTGGCGTTCGTGCTGGTGCGCGTGGTGCGCGTGGTGGAGCCGGTGGCCATGAGCCTCGAGATGTACGTCTCGTCCGTGCTGCCCATCGGCGCGCTCTACGCCATGAGCCTCTGGTTCTCCAACTCCGCCTACATCTACCTCTCCGTCTCCTTCATCCAGGTGCCACTCTCTCCCCTTACTCCTGGTTAAAGTGTGCTGTGCTTGTCGCTCTTCTCTGCTGCCACGGCGTTGGCCCCGTAATGCGTGCCTAATGGCGTCCATCCTATCTCTTAGCACAGCTCGTCTGCCTGCTCTCGTTCCCTTTTTCCTCCCGAGCTTCCGTCCTTTGTCACCAAGAAAAACGTAGTGCTGTTATCTGGGGTCCTCGCCCACTCGTACATGTATCCTGCTTATTCTTTGTCCTCATGCCTCTGCCTCTGCTTCCGTGTCCCTCCACCTCTCTCCATGCCCACCCCCCCCCCCCCCCCCCCCGTTCTCCCCAACCCACTCCTGTCCGTCCGTGCCCCCACGACCAGATGCTGAAGGCGCTGATGCCAGTGGCGGTGTACACGCTGGGAGTGGCGTTTCAGAAGGACGCCTTCCGCTGCTCCACCATGAGCAACATGCTGCTCGTGTCGGTGGGAGTGGGCATAGCCGCGTACGGCGAGGCCAACTTCAACTTCACAGGCGTCCTCCTGCAGCTCGCCGCCGTTGCCTTTGAAGCCACTCGCCTCGTGCTCATCCAAGTACGCCTCTGTATGCTTGATCTTTACCTTGTGGTTACTGGTTACCACAGAACCCATTCACGGGCTCCTCTCATCCTGTGCCTTGACCTAACAGCCAATGCCCAAGAAGCAGCTGATAGCCTGGTCCGCTGAAGCGCCTCTGTCACCCCAGTGCACCATGCCCCACTGATGTCTTTGCAAATCTCAGCTCGTCTCTCCCCATGCATCCCACGCCGCCCCTGCAGATCCTGTTGGCGTCCAAGGGCATCTCCCTGAACCCCATCACGAGCCTGTACTACGTGTCCCCCACATGCCTCATCTTCCTCACCATCCCCTGGTTCTTTGTTGAGTACCCCTCCCTCGCCCCGCACCTCGCCGCGCCCCACCCCGACCTGCTGGTGTTTGGGGGCAACTGTGTGTGCGCCTTCGCCCTCAACCTCGCTGTCTTCCTGCTCATCGGCAAGACGTCAGCGCTCACCATGAACGTGGCAGGTCTGTACACGTGTTGCTCGCTGTTGCATGTGTCGTCCAATACTGCGGGGTTCAGATGTTACCCCTGCTGGTTTTGTTGTCAAATTGCCTGATTGTTGGCCTGTGCTGGATCTCTTGCCCTGCAGGGGTGGTGAAGGACTGGCTACTCATTGCCTTCTCCTGGTCTGTCATCAAGGATAGGGTAACTGCCATAAACTTGTTTGGGTATCTTCTGGCGTTCGGTGGAGTGTGCTGGTATAATCACTCCAAATTGCAAGTAAGTAAGCCGGTGCATCAATCGAAGAGACATTGAGGTTTTTTGCACCGTACATTTAGTCTTAAGACGTGTGTGGCACCCTTTGTTTGGTGTTTGTTGGGCAATGAGCAGGAAATGAAGTCCAAGGATGCTGCAAGGAAGGCTGCACAATTGGATGAAGAGGAGGGGCTTATTAAAGATGGCCCATCCTCAGACTCGGTAGTGCAAAAGAGACAGTCCCAAAGCTCCTAGTGTAGCTTAGGTTGGTAGTATGAGAACCAGCTTAGCTACAAGCTTTGTCCTCATTTACACTTGTACTGGCTGCGAATGTACACATTAGCCCAATAAAGATAAATGCAGCTTCTGTGTTCGAATTAGGCTGCTACACTCTGACGCGCGTTAAAGGGAAGTTAAGCAAGGTACAGAGCGCCACGTGGTTCGTTATGAGCCATGTTTCCCGCGCTCCTTGTCGACGAGGCTCTCAATCTGTGATGATGACCGACATGCCCGAGGCTTTGTGCACCACCACTTCACCTGCCTGCCTGCCATTCCCCAGACCAGACTGTGTAGCTTGGTCCCCGCAAGTATCTGAACCGAAACACTTGAAGAGCAATCACTTGCTCCGCCGAGACAGCACCGCCACTTCGTCCCTTACCGTTCTCTGTTTCGCTTCGTAGGTCGACGTGCCAAGCTCTTCCCAGCGTCACGCCGGTTTCAGTCCGTCACAATCGTCTTGCGTCGGCGCAAGTGGGAGGTTCTGCCGATTTCTCTCACCTCTGCGCGTCCAACTCGCCCGAAACCTGCCGTTCATGTCGACTCTCCGAGTCGCTTCCACGGGATTGCGGATTCCACGCTCGAATCTCGTTGAACATGCGCTAATTCAGGTGCGCGATACGCGATCCAACCTTAGTCGGAGCAGGAACGAATTCAAAAGAATCAACCCTAGTTTTCACCAACCCTTATCGCCTCGCTCAATCTATTGAATTCAGATGTTTATCATTCATGGCGTCTTCTATCTCCCGTATTGCCCTACCCCGTACAGACACTCTCGTGCTTAAGACCGCGAGCGGGCTCGCCGCCAAATGCGCATGCGCTGGCGCTGCTGCCACGTAGACAGTCAGCCTTCGTTTCCCGGCCGTCGTTCCCCGCGTCGTATCGCAGCGGCCTACAGCGAGTATGCGCGGAGTCGAGGGGGAGCAGCAGCCACGAGAGTGCGGAGGAGGGGCGAGTAGAGGCGCGGCGAGTAGAACCGGAGGGAAGCACCGCAGGAGAGACTGCGGACACCTCTATCGCCGAGTCGCGCGGCGTTGAATCAGGTGAGAACGCTTGCTTCTGCTAATCGGTGCTGTGTGGAATTCATATATTGTCGAGCCAAGGGCAGCCGACAGGCGGAGTTTTTTAGTGGTGACTCGGGCACCAGTTGTTGAGCTCATATGTGAGATAAACTGTGGTGCGCGCATCACCGCCGTGCCGCTGACGTCGTTCACTAGGATGAAAGCATTTGCCTTGCAGCCAAACACAAGCAGTCCGTTGATTCCCACCAACGAAGCATAAGCAACTAGAAGCCTGTTTACGCTTGTCTTTCCTCCTCAATCCTCACCCAACTTCTACCCTAACCTTCTCAATCCCCCCTTTCCTCCATCCCTAACCACCGTCCCTCCCCCCTCCCCGTCACCGCCACCCTAGCAGCGCCTGCACCGTCCGCCTTGCCATCACTCCTCCCCGCCTCCACGGCGCTCCTCTCCGCGGCGTTCCTTGCCTTATTGCCGCTCACAGGCGGCTTCGACCTGTCGGGCCCGGGGTCGGTCGTACAGGCAGTGGGCGTGCTGGCGCTCATAGTGGCCGTGCACGAGGCGGGCCACTTCCTCGCCGCGCGCTCCCTGGGCGTGCACGTGACGAAATTCTCCATCGGCTTCGGCCCTGTGCTCGCCAAGTACCAGGGCAAGGGCAAGGACGGCAGCACCGAGAAGGGCGTGGAGTACGCGCTCAGGGCGTTCCCGCTGGGCGGGTTTGTGGGGTTCCCGGATGATGACCCGAGTGAGGAGGCGGTGTACCCGCCTGACGACCCCGACCTGCTCAAGAACCGCCCCATCGCTGACCGCGCGTTTGTCATCAGCGCTGGGGTCATCGCCAACATCGTCTTTGCCTATGCGCTGCTCTTCACCCAGGTGCGTGCTGGGCTGTGTGGCACGGTGGTGGCGTGACAGTGAAGGTTTTGTTATGGACAGAGGGATGGGCACTGGGATTGCAGCATCACATCACAGCAATGGTGGGCTTTTTGACATAGGCATTGCAGTAACAGTGGAGCCTCATGGCATTAACGTGATGTTCCCGTGACACTGCCAGCCACCATCAACATCTGTCTGCTCTTCTCCACCAGCCTTCCCTTCCTCCTTTCAATGCACTGCTCTCTCACGCACATTCACCACTTCCTACCTCCATCCCCTCCCCACCTCCCTCAGGTGAACACAGTGGGCCTGATCCAGCAGGTATACCAGCCAGGAGTGATGATACCAGACGTGGTGTACGGGTCAGCGGGCGAGCGCGCAGGGCTGCTGCCAGGCGACCTCATAGTGGCGGCAGACGGCACACCGCTACAGCCGTCCAGCACCGCCGTCTCCGACCTCGTCAGCTACATCCGCGCCTCGCCCGGCCGCCCCATCTCCCTCGACGTGCTCCGATCCGTGCAGGCACCGCCTCTCAGCGGGGGGGTGGAAGGGGAGCTAACAGGTGTGAGTGCGGCAGGAGCAGCAGCGTCAGGGGAGGCTGAGAAGCAGGTTGTGAGCATCAGGGTGGTGCCAGACGTGTCGTTCCGGGACGGAGGCGGGCGCATCGGAGTGCAGCTAGCGCCCAACTCCTACCAGGAGCAGGAGCGCGCCGATAACCTCCTGGACGGCACAGTAGCGGCTGGCAAGGAGTTCGGGCGGCTCATGGGCGCCGTAGTCGACGGGCTGCAGCAGATCATCTTCAACTTCGGTAACACCGCCGACCGCGTGTCAGGCCCCGTGGCCATCGTGGCAGTGGGGGCCGAGGTTGCTCGCACAAACCTCTCGGGGCTGTTCCAGTTCGCGGCCATAGTGAATCTGAATCTGGCAGTGGTGAACCTGCTGCCGCTGCCAGCGCTGGACGGGGGGTACCTGGCGCTGCTGGCGGTGGAGGCGGTGCGGGGGGGCAAGAAGATCCCCGTGGATGTGGAGCGCGGCATCATGTCGTCGGGGTTCCTGGCTCTGCTGGGTGCTGGCATCTTCCTCATCGTTAAGGATACCATAAACCTCGGCTTCTTGTGACTCTGAGTCGTCATGTGCGGGCCTTGATGTACCTAGGACAATCGTGTGCTTGCTGTCATGCCGGCTGTGGATGTGGAGTGCGGCATCATATCATCATCGGGGTTCCTGGCTCTGCTGGGGTTCTGGTATCTTCCTCGTCGTGAAGGACACCATCAACCTTGGGTTCTTGTGACGCTGATGGGTTGGCCTTGATCTACCGCATGCTTGCCGTCTTGAAACCTGTGTGACTGGGCTTGGAGGTTGAGGATGCTAGCAGTAAAGCCTACTGTCTACCTAGTATCTGTGAACATACATGCTTCTGTTTCCCAACTTGTACTTAATCTCTCCATACATGAAAGCTGAGAACAACTCCCTGGTTTTTTCACATTGGTGCAACTCAAAACTATCACGTGTGATGATTAACAAGAGGTACCCGCTCGCTCACAGGCATCATGCTAGTACTATGTGTCAGGAACGATGCATTAGCGGTAGATGATATGACATCAAAGCAGCGGAACACCAGACCACACATACCACTGAGGTAGCTATAGACACATCCCTCGCTACTCATCCTCCTCACCCGCGTCCTCATCCCCCTCCATCAAATCCCCCTCCTCATCCTCCACAAACCTCTCCTCTTCCTCCTTATACTCCTCCTCACTCCCCTCCTCATCCTCATCCTCCTCCTCATCCACCCATCCCTCAGCCCCAAACAACCCCTCCTCCACCCCAGTCGCATCCTCCACCTCCACATCGCTATCATCCCCCTCCTCATACACCGTCGCCGCCCGCACTCCTCCACCCGCCCCCTCCCTCTCATACCCCCCGCTACCCCTTCCCCCCGCAACCCCCTCCCCACGCGCCCCCTCGTCCCCGTGCGTCTCCCTCACAGCCATCACCACCAGCTGCAGCCGCCCCGCCAGCTCCAGCATGGGTCGCAGCGCAGCAACGCGCGCCTCCACCGTCTGATATAGCGCTGCCAGCGCCTTGTGCGCTGCAGGCGCCGACGCCAGCATGCCAGCATGACACGTCAGCGCGGCCTGCATCCACGGCACCATGGATAGCGCCTCCCCCGGGTGCTCCTGCACACGCGCCGCCACCACCTCCACCAGCTTGAGCGCCAGGTGCGGGGGCAGGTGGCGCACTGTGGGGAGGATGAGCGCGCGGCGGCGGACGGTCATGGCGGCCTCGAAGCACTGGCGCAGCAGCGGCATGTCGCCCGCTTCCAGCGCCTGCTGCACCACCACTGATAGGGACTCCGCCCGCGGCGCCGCGAGCACCTCCATTGTCTCTGAGCGCGCCCCCCCCTTGCTGGGTACCAGTGCGGAGGAGTGGGGCTTTTTGGCGGTGGTGGGGGCGAGGGAGTGGCCGGAGGGGGAGATGCCGAGCTCCTTAAGCTGCTCCTCTATTGTCTTCTCCACCCCCCCGCTCACGCCCTCCATCGCCTCGCCTGGCCCAACTAAAGCGGCATCAGCACCAGCGCCTGTGGCGGGAAGCAGCGCCGCCTCCTGCTCCTCTGCTGCCTTGCGCTTGTTCTTTTTTTTCCGCTCCTTCTTCCCCTCCCCGTCCCCATCCGCCTCCGCGAGGCTCGCGCGCAGCACGGGCGCCTGCATGGGCATGCCCCCCACCACCTGCACTCCGCCTGTGTCTTCCGCCTCCCCAGCTCTCCCCTTCTTTCCCCCCTTTTTACCCGCCTTGCCGCGCGCAACGCCTTCCGCCTGCTCCTCCACCTCCCCGTGCCCCTCCCCCCCGTCCGCCCGAACCCTCGTTCCCCCCGCGGGCAGCAAATCCGTCGCCTCGGGCGCGCTCAGCAGAACGACACGCGGCTCGCCCTCGTTGCCCTCCTGCGCCTCGTCCAAGCTAACGTTCTCGAACTGCGGCCTCGCTAGAATGCCACGCGCTACAAGCATCGGCGATCCCGAGGCGTATTCCGGCAGATGCGCTGCCAGTATCGCCTCTCTCCCCTTCTGCCCCTGCCGCACCTGGCCCTGCCCCGCGCCTTTCACTATGCGCTCCCCCTTCACCACCACAGGCTGCGAGCGCGCAAGCGCAGGGATTGTTGGCCCCGCCCATACGTACGCCTCGCCCTCCGTTGTCAGCGCCAAAACCCGAAACCCCGAATCGCTGCCGCCTCCCCCCTTCGCGCAGGCCACGAATTCGGGCGGCTCGGGCAGCGACAGCACGGCGAACGCCTTGCGCTTCTCGAAATCCGCGGAGAAATTCCACACGGCCACGTGTCTGTCGCCTTCCGCGGCGCTGAAAGCGAAGCTCGTAGACGGCGAGAACGCAATCGAGGAAACCTTTTCCGGGTGCCCGGAAAACTTGCGAATCTTTTCCTTGCTGCCCGCATCGAAAAGAGTCAGCTGCGAGCTTCCCACCATGAGCAGCGGCGGCCCGCCCCCTTCAGCCCCCGCCCTCACCGCTATGCTCGAGACGGGCGATTTGGACGCGCGGAACCGCGACAGCACCGCGCCGTCCGCCGCGCTCAGCTCGTTGATGTAGCCGTCCATTCCGGCCGCGAACACGATGGGCGGCGCGGCGGCGGTGGCGGGGAGGAAGGCGAGCGAGACGATGCCGGCGGGATCTACGGAGGCCTGGCGCCATGCCACGGCGCCCATCGCCACGTCCCACGCGATGACGTCACCATACGCCGTGCCAAGCACCACTAGCGCGTCTGCCTGCGCGCCAGCCGCGCCCTTGCCTTTCTTCCCCGCCTTCCCCGCCTTCCCCTCCCCCGAACCCCGCGCGCGCTCCGCCCACGTCATGCACGAGTAGCGCAGCTCCAGGTGTCCGCGCTCGCCCTCCCCCGCGTCTGCGCCGAGAGGGAGAATGTCCCCGTCTGCTGACACCCGGTTCGCCACGTCAGCACACTCGACGACCAGCCTGCCGGCAACAGCGTCCCAGACCTTGAGACGGTTGTCCGCCATACACGTGGCGAGACGGGAGCCGTCGGCATTGAAGGCGATCAGGCGGGGTCTGCGAGATCTGCTACTGTGCGCCTTAACCGACGCCATCGTAACTCCTCAGCACGCGTAATGCAAGGTGGTGAGGAGCTTATTCGTGAACCTTGCACGACTTGGGATTGGAGTGATCAGGTCAGAGCGAGTGGATAATTGATATGCTCGACTAAACCAGCAAAACCCTTCGCGGAGAACCCTAAATCTGGTGTAATTGTGGCGAAAGAAAGGCTGGTCTGGGAACACCAGTGGACAAGTAGGGCAGTTCAAGTCCCTGGGTGTGCGGGTGGCACAGCTTCGCAAATGTATTTTTGCGAAATGGCGAAGTCTGTTTCTGGAGCAATGGGCCTGTTCGCACTGTACCTCACCTCGCAATCCCTGACAAATTCAGAATGCACTTCGAAAAAGCTGGGGAAGAAGCAATTTCGTGTTTGTTTGGGCGATGTGATGCTAGAATGTTCCGGTGGAAAGATTGATAACGCGTACAATGCAGCTCGCCTGAAATTCCTTCCACATTCCCTCGGGTCCGTGTTTGCTCCCTTCGCCTCCCCTATTCTGATTCGCCCTTCGTTGCACTCGTTCTCACCCACGCTATACCTGTAGCGTGTCGCGCGCATCATTCCGTTCCGACCCACGCGCGTCGCGCACATTCTTCCAAGCGCCTCGTTTACCGCGTCACCGCCATTCGACCCAATGGCCCCATCGCTCCGCGCGCAACTCCCCTGCGCCGCATCCCCTTCGCGCGCATGTCTCCCCCATAGCCTTCCTGCCAAATGCCCCTTACCTGCGCGCGAAAGTTGCGTGAGAGGGGGACCCGCCTTGCCCCTCTCCTCTTCACACACCCGCAATGGCCGGCCCCTTTTAATTAGGCGCTCATTTTCTGATAGACACAGACACGCGGAATTCTCGCCGCGATCGTCGCTAGACTCCCCCCCTGAAGCGCAAGCGGAGACGCTGCCGGAATCCCCGCTTCCCTCCGCCGCCCCTTCCCCCACAACTCCGCCAATCGAGCCCCGTCCCACGTGGCTGGAGTATGACATGGCGCTACACGACAAAGACCTCTCACGTGCGTTGTCCATCGCTACCGCTTTAGCCCCGCAGAAGACGACAGACGAAACCGCCCCAAAATCCGCCGAATTCCTGGATTTACCCGCGGAGACCGCGGGGATAGTGTCTGCTGGGGGACCGGGGCAGGCGCAGATCGAAGGGGGGCCTGCGGGGAAGCGGGAAGTGCGGGGGGAGGAGGCGGAGGAGGAGGCGGAGCGGCAGCGGCGGTGGCTGCAGCTGCTGGAGGTGGGGAAGGCGGAGAGCGACCTGCGCGTGGTGGGGCAGACGTACGAGTGGCTGCGCTCCCAGGGGCTCCTCAGGAACTTTGGCCGCTTCCAAAACAGCAGTGCGTGGCGGCGGTGGGGACAGAGAGCGACGGGAGGGGAGAGATGAGTGCAGTGAGGTGTGCTGACAGCGGTGCCTCCAGCCGGTTCTTGCTGGCTCGCGCTGCCACTGCCACCACGCTTTCCTAATGCCCTCTTTTCTTTCTCGCTCGTGCCCACTCACATTGCTCCCGCCTTGTCCCCACACGTGGCGCCACAGTATTGGAGGGCGTGCCGCGGGTCGTCACTCCCAAGGTGCTCAAAGACCGGTCGGGCCTCGAAGGTTCGTGCACATGCCTCCCTCCTGCCCTATCGCCTTCTACCTTGACTCGCAAGCCTGCCCCCTCCGCGCTTCTCCTACACTCCTCTCACCCTTCTCCCCGTCAACCCAGCACTCTCCCTTCTTCTGTTCCATCGTCCCCTTCTTCCCCCTTCCCCCAGCCAAGAACCTAGCCCCCCAGAAGTGGGGCATGTCGTCTCCACTGCTCCCCATCGCGCTCTTCGCGGCCTTCTCCGCCCTCGTGGATGCGGGGGTGGACCTGCGCCCACTCGCCTTCATCTCGCTCGCCCTCGCTGTGGGGGACGCGGTGTACCTGGGGGGGGCGGGCGCGGGCCAGCTGCTCATGCTGCTCTGGGCGCCCTTCCGCGAGCGCGTGCTGGTGCACGAGGCGGGCCACATCGTAGCAGGTGGGTG